TGGTTACACAACCGGTAAAATAGCCGGGTATGTACCCTTAGAATGTTGTGGAAACGTCCTAGGATTGAATCCGGCAATTATAGGGATTCAGCGAATGCAACTGGCTAATGGACGTCCAATGGAATGCGTCCGTTTGTCATCCTGTTCTGGCATGTTCGCTAGTTAAGGTACGGTTATTCTAATCATGAACAAGTCTGCTTAACCTAGTACTTGCACGATTGCGCCACGTGTTGCACGCTTACAGGCTAGTCGAGGCGATCTGGCACCGAGGGCATATGGCATGACAACATGTATATAAAGAAAATAACAAAACTGTTGAGAATCTTTATATATAAGCGGCCGCGCGCGGGGCCGGGCCTTGGGCCCAACCGCAGCCGCCCTGGCCGATATCCGAAAAGGTGGCCGGCCGGCGCGGGCATGCCTAAACGTTCGGTTTAAATCGAGGCCGGCCCCAGAACTGCGCTGAGCAACCAGGATACACAGACCACAACTGAACTCATTAAAATTGAGTTGCTGCGCATGGATTGGTCCGACTGGCGCGCCGCACCCGGAAAATGAGGAGCTGTACAATATGATGGTGATGGTCCAATGCAGATTCCAGCTGTTGCCTGCTTAGAACAAGCTACGGCGGCCAATATTTGGTACAAGTTTGGAATCACAGCTTCCGTTCACAGAAGGTCAAATGGTCGAAGTTGATGATTCGATCACAGTTCCAACGGGTCCACCGCACTGATCAAGTTGCGCACACCTAAGAGCAAACTTCATTGCTCCTGTTCCTTGAATATCAGACATGACTACTCTCAACGGTTACAGATCTGCTTCATTGCGGATGAACGCTCAGGAAAGCTCGTTATTAGTTGAGAGATCATGGGTCACATAACTCGTCCTACCCTTGATTTCTTTGCCCCTTTGCAGAGCGACACAGAACAGCAACACTGCCCATCAGTATACCTGCGTCCTCTCTTCGTGCAACTCAGGAGCGCTCACCTTCTCGCTTAATTGCACTCGAACTCCGTTTTCTGCATATTCTGCTCCAGGCTGTTGCACTCGCTTCCCCTCTTTATCAAAGAATCTTCCACCTTGCACTATCTGCGGCAGACCCGTTACGATTTTGCTAACAGCCCCGAATGGAGTGAGATAATTAACACTTGCGTCGCGCAAGCTGAGCTCTTTTATCTTGGGCACCAACCCAGCCGCAACCGTTTCAGGTTCTTCGGCCAAAGCGTTGAAGAAGCGCCGAGCAGACGGAGTGGAGTCTTTGAGAAGAAGGTCGGTTAGGACCATACCGGGAGAGCAATTATGGACGCCAATGCCCAGAAGACCTGCACATGAATGTGGTCAAACGAAACAGATGCTCGGCTGAATTCGATGTGTATAGCAAAGTCAGAAGTCAGTAGCGGACTGGGGTCAACAAACGCATTTGACCGCAGCAAAGTCCGAGATCAACTTCTTTCCGACATGGGTCGGGCCGGTGCTTTTGGATATCCAAGCCGGCCATGAAAGTATCCAATCAACGACACTCGAAAGTTCACCAGGTGTTGACAGATTGATTTTGATTGCTGTTTCCAAGAATTGTACAAGAACTCGCTTCAAAAGTTGGTTGCCTGATCCTACTCGAATCAGGATGATATCATCGACGAACATACGCTCTAATAAGTGTACTTACTGACCGCTGACAATTGCTAACTGTAATTATCGCTGAAGTGTAACGATCGCTGAACTTGGAACATCATCCTGAGAGCCCAGGCAACTGTTGCTCGGGCCGATGTCTGCGGCTCAAAGCACTTGCTTCATCCAAGCAAAAGCTTGAAACAATCAGAAGTTATCGAGCCAGTCGTCCTCACCAGCTTCCTTCAGTTCGTCCAAAAGCGCCCTCGTGAGCCACATCAAGCTGGACTTGGTCGCCTTGTGCGTGGTGGCGCTCTTTGTGTTTTTCACCCCAAAGTCTGTGAAGCCGAAGTTGAGGATATGATATTGTGGGGGGCCCTCTCGGGCTCCCGGTTGTTCCCGCATCAGCTGAACGGCCGCGCGGCTGCCGAAGAGAGACCCCAACACATTGCAGGACACCGCGGACTGGATCTCGTCTATGGGCACGTCTGCAAGGAGGCGCTTGCTGGTCACCTGCAGATCTGGAGCGGTGAAGCTTGGCATAGGAAACTGAAGAAGTGAAATCCGAGAGCAAGATCGGAAGCGCGTCTCGACCACCTAAACTGCTCGCGCTTTTGACACTAAGCAATCCGAATTTTTTGATCAGACTGACAAGAAGCAGAGCCGAAGGAACAGAATCACCTATAATGGGCAAAGATTAGGAGAGTCCAAGTCCAAACGAAGGCAGAGGTAGTGAGGTTTTGAAGCCCCCGGCTGGTACTTGGATGGAAACTTCGCCAAGGAGAAAAATTTAAGGAAACCGCCTGATTACCAGATAGCGGGCGGAACCTCCCCACAATGAAGCAGAAATCTATTTCTAACTCAACTGTGCGGAAACCTTGCAGAGACCTTTTTGAAGATGCTGCGCTCTTGAACCAGCTTGTATCATTGCAAACAGTCTCCACCATCCCGACCAAATCAAAGTGACATTCCGTTGAATATCTCGATGCTCACCTGGCCTGCGTTGTTCAACCAGATGTGCACCGTCCCTAGTTTTTCTTGGGCAAACACACTCAGCTTTTCCACATCCTCTGCCGCCCCTACATTGCACTTCAACCCGTGAACCCGCCCTCCGGAGGCATTCTCCAAGCCTCTAAGAGAGGCCACAGCTTTGTCCACACCCTCCTGGGTACGTGAGCATATGACCAGATTGTCCCCTTGCTTCAGAAACTCCTGAGCAAGGGCGAAACCCAGCCTGCAAAAGAAAGGGGCCTCGAACTGACCAACAACTTCCAAGTTCAAAATTAACGTACACATACCTTGGTCCCTCAAGAACTCCGCTTTTTCAACACATTGGCAAGGCCGGTGCAATACAGAATGTTTGAGCGAGTATTCCTCTATCTACCACTTGAAATCATGGTCATAAGACCTGGGTAAATTACCATGAAGCTCGACCACACTCACCCTTTTGACGCACCAGTCACGACGACGCCGCTTGGAGTTGCAGAGGAAAGCGATGCTCTGAAGCAAGTTCTGCTCTGTACAAAAAAGGTAGTCATTGCTCGTGAGGGACAAACTCATGCAGGCTGGAAAGTTCATTAGCAGGGATTCCAATAGTGGCGCTGTGTACCGGGGCATGGTCGTGACGTTAGATGCATTCAAACATCTGGTGGCAGAAAGTCCGTTGTTGGCACAGCAATCAATATACTGCTGGACTACATACCTGTAGACGAGTTGGACCCGCATTGTGTCTTTGACTAGCGCCCTGCCAAATTCCAGTATGCCCGGGCAGGAGGATTTGATGGTCTTGCTTAAGGCCACCCCAGCTGAACCCCCAAAGACTTTTCCGGAGCATAGATCCAGGTCTTCTAAGGTGAACACCCTTCCAAAAGTTGGCTTCATTCCGGATGTTTGACGCAACAGGATGACTGGTGCTGATTGGCCTTCCGCATACTTTTACAAGTGTAACTTCCTTCAGATGGGGACTGACTGCAGCTGCCATGACGCTATGTCAACAACGCTTCGATCCTCTTTTTTAATGAAAAACGTTATCTCGCTTATTGCAGGCAGCTTCCACCAGACAGAACACCTAGAAAAGAGAATCTACAGACAGGCAGCTCCCTCACTCCCTGGAAGAAGTCAATGGCGAGATACTGCTAGTTTGCTTTAAGTTTGCGGCACAAATACAGCCTTCATCAGACATCTGATTCTGCATTTCCTCGCCCTTTGTCCAGAGTTGTTTTAGGGTGTCGTTCCACGGGCGGTGGTGGAAGTCAGGAGAATAAATAAAATATGTGGCTCTGAAGAGGCCGGAATTTGCCTGGAAGTTCAATATTATACCAATTTCCGGCCGCTCGTGGAACAGCTCGCCGGTGGAAGTGGCATTCAAAAAATACGCACTTACTGCAGAATCCGACATGGCATCCTCTCATTCGCTGATTGAGTGCCACGTCCCGGCACAGAAAAATATTTTCGTTCGACCCTACAAATACTCGGGTCGAGTTTTAATAAAAGTTGTGCCGCCGACGTGGCATTTATTTGCCCGGAAGTCCGCCCGTTGACCGACGGCAGAAACAATTTGGGCCAATCAGGGAATTTATATTTCTACTTCCACCGCTCGTGGAACGACACCCTTAGTTCAACTTCAAGCAAAGACGTCGTCGTCAGTGCATTCAACGACAAATCTGACACAACAAAATTCTTTGCAGACACCCCATGTAAATACTCTCAAATTCAAGCTTGTCTTGACAAAGGCCGTCCGTCGTTCTTCAAAACCAGGCCATCGACGGTTTTGTATGAATCTTCTTGGCGCCACAAATCAAAGCCTGGATCACTTCCTGATCCTTGAAAACATCTGATCAAGTCTGGGCTTTTGACTGTTGACAAGGGCTTTGAAGTCTCTGCGGCAGAGCAAAGGTCTGAGAGGGGAGAGCAGGGTGCGCTGGTGAAGTTGGAGGCTGCCGCTGTGCGAGAGTCAATCATTTTTGTTGGTGTCTGGCTCTCTGATTGGCATTGCTCAAAGGGGACCTGGACATCAAACGGCCCTGTCTAGAGTCGAACATGAAGCACGGCGAAGCGCTTTGGTTTCAATTCACTTCCCAAAAGCTACTTCGAAGATAGGGCAAGGCTGACTTTGCTAGATCGAGATCGGAAGCCGGCAGGGGTTCACCAGCCATGACCATGTCTGCACTTTCAAATGGAAGTCACACATCAAGGGGGTCTTCACTGTCCTACGGAAGCTTAGGATCGGTGGGAAGGTGGAAGCTTGATGAGCAGAAGCGCAGACTACGTGAGGCAAAAAGACGAGCAAGCGGGTGTGTGCAAGAGATAAAGGTTTTGAAGGAGGAATGCTCTGGTCTGAGTGCCAAAATCAACGACGATGAAATAAAACAGCAAGGTTTGCAGGAGCAGAAGGAGCAACTGCAAACCAGCCCAGCAGGTTAGGGACCGTGTCTCTGTATTCCTGATACCATTTGTGTGGATTCTGAAGCTTGGTTCAAGCAAGTTCCTATCTGTGCAGGTTGGCTGTTTAAAATGATCAGAATCTTTTGCAAAGGCACAATTGGCAAAATGATGCCAAACTTGTTATTGGTGGGCTAGTAGTTTTGCTAGCAAGCTAGGGGCATATGGTCTGGACTCTGTTCCCAGACCTGAGTGCCAATGCAAGGCTCCTTAAATGATTCAAAATGAAAGTTCCATAAAGGCGTCAGCTTTGTAGTCATAAATAGCTCTTCTCCAATATATCTGTTGATAGAAGCGGACTTGCTCCTTCCAGTCCTTCCAACGATTGTACGAACAATCTGATTGTGCAGGTGGTTCACAACTAGCGGAGATTGAAGAAAAGCTTCGTGAAATCCGAAAGCAGATCAAAGCAGACAAAATGGAGTTGGACAAGGCAACCAAGCTGCTTGACGAGCGTCTTGAAGATCAGCGGCTTTTGTATGAGCAGCTCTTGACAGATGAGAAGGCTATCCAGAAGGCAGAGAACGAGGAGACCTCATCGACAGATGCTGCCCTGCAAAGAGAGCTGAAGCATCTGTCAGAGGAGATGCTGCGGTTGCAGGTGAGGCCCTTTGACTTAGAAGGAACAGTAGCTTCCGCTGAGGATCGTGCCTTGTATCTGGAAGACTAACATGCACACCTTTTGGTAATATTGAGAGCAGTTACCTCTTGTCGCTCAACCTGGTGAAGTCCGTTAGGTTTATCAGTAGACAATTTGTTCAGTTGGTCATAGTTGACAGTAACAGCTGGCTGTCCACAACATCAAGAGTTGCAGATCAATAGACAAGCTGTCCAGGTAGTCTTTGCTGACAGCTGTCTGTCTTCAACATTGAGAATTGCAGAAAGTGAAAGTTATTCTGGTCTTTATTGCAATTATTCAAGTCATTGACTCCAGGGATCAACATCTACATGTTTCTGATACAGGGGCTTTGTCAAGAGATGCAAGAGTTGCAGACCCAGTGCAGCACTGTCAAAGAGCAGGAGGAAGAATCGGCCCTGGTCTTACGTCCGCAAGACGAGAATGTTGTCAGCGGTCTCTCCTCAAAACGCGAGCTACATGGGTCGTCAGGGAAGAATGCTGTTATTCGCCAAGAAAGGGACCAGCTTGAGAGGGAACTTGCAGCAGCAAAGGCAGTGGCCGACTCAATTCGCAGGGTAAGTGTTTGTTGCAATCAGGCCCGAAGCTTGCCAAGGAAAACATCTGGCGAAATTATACATGGAGAATATCAGAAGCGGCTCGACTCCCTTTCCAAATCCGCATGTTGTATGTATGTAACCTAGCATCGGAAGATTCTCAGTCAAGTATGTGAGGACAATTTTGAGGTTCTGTATAGACAGGGGCATGAGCAGAAAGGCCTTGCTGATATACCTGTGGCATACGAATCTGTTTCACCTTTCCCTGATCATGCTTCTGGTCAGGATGACCAGTCAAGGACAGCAGATTCTTGGGCTACACTCCAATGTTGCCAAAACGGCTAGTTTCTGGTGATGATGTTCAACCACAGTGTTTGCTAATCCTAGCACCTGGGAGGTGACGTCTTGTAAACAAAAGGTGGTCAGGAAGCAGGACATAAGGAACTTAAGACTTGAAGCTTTTCTGCTCTATGCAGGAGGCTGAAGAGAAGGCTGCCAGCCGCCAACAGCAGCTGACCGCGTTGACTGAGGAGTTGGAACATTTGAAAGCCGCGAACGCCGAGCTGAGCCAGGAGGTGCCGCTGCTGTCGGCACAAAACCAGCAGTTGAAAGACGAGCAGGAAGCGCAGGCGCGCAGGACGGAGGAGCTCCAGATGACCATCGACTACATGCAAGAGTGGCAGGCGGTTTTGAAGCAGAAGGTGGCGCGTAGCACGGGCAAGAGCTTTGGGGGAGTAAACGACCAAGGCTCAGCAGAACGGGGGGGTGCAAGTGCTGAGAGGAATCGGGGAGGTTTGGCCAAGCGGCTAGACTTCGAGGACGGGATGCTGAGCCCCGACTCTGTGGCCCAGAACCGAACACCGGACTCAGAGATGCGCGGGAGAGACGCGTGCGCACGGATCTTTGTTCAGGGCCTGGAGCGCGCCATGGTGGGGACGCCGCTGACTGTGCCCGTCCAGGAGGAAGAAGGGGACCTGCTACAGCTTGTGCGCGACGTGGAGAGGGACATGGGGGGAGAGCGCATCCGCGAGCTCGAGTCCCTTGTCTCGAAACTGACGTCAGAGGCGGAGGAGCTCCGCAAGGGGTCCCTGGAGGACGCACTGGCAGCTGGAGAGCAAGGGGAAGAGGAGCCGTTTGAGAAGGAGGCGAACCTGGTTCAGCAATTGGCGGAAGAGCAGGCGAAGAGAGAGGCGGCTGAGAGGCGAAGTGAGGAGCTGGCTAGGCAGTTGATGGATCAGGCGCTCTTCGGGAATGCACAAGATACCAATGGTATCTTAGAAGACGCTGGAAGGAGGCAAGGAGTTGCAGTCCAAGGTAGCGAGGAGTCTGACGTTCCTGGCGGACTTCTTTCAGGTGATCATTTGCTGGTTTTCGACTTGAGGTTTTCGTTCCGATTCCTTTCCTTTCAATCGAACGGCAGGTCCTGAAGCGATTACTGCTTACTCAGGTCCAAGTGGCGCCCATGATACCTCGAATAATCAGGCGGAAGAGAAGATTGTTCAACCTAAGCAGAAGCTGCAGATTGGATGGCTGCTTAATGTATGCCCCTTCCAGACGTGTCGTCGTGAAGGCGCAAGGGTGCCTTGAAATGAATCTCTCTTTTACCTCTGCACTTTGATGCTAGCTGAGTTCCAGGCCCTTGAATAACCCATCGTTTGACAGCCCCTGCTTATTAGCCGGTTGGGTACCCGGCACGAGAAGGGCTCTAATAAAAGTCCTTGGCTGTTGCTAAACATTTACCACGCACTTCTGCAGATGCCTCTCATTCAGTCAACCTGGATGAGATGGTGGCGAACCTTTCCCAAAAGCTGTCACAGACGGAGGCTGCAAGAGAAGAAGCGGAGGAGACGGTGTTTGAGCTGGTCAAGGATCTAGCCACTTTGCGTGGCCAATATGAAGCCTCCCGACGTGACAAGCGGATCGCCTCCAGTTTGCAACGCGAATACGAAGCTTTAACCCGGCGTCTAACCTGGCGAAGTGTATTGGTGGCCGCGCAAGTTGCTCTGTTCCTGTACTTCGCTTTTGCAGTAGCTGGGGAGCTAGGATTATGTGGGTTTTTAAGCCCCACATAGCTATCGAGATTGCAAGGTCAGGGAAGAGCTGATATTGGCGCCCTCTCTCTTACAATCTCAAACGGGATCAGAAATCAGTATTCAGGTGGAACAAGCGAGACATTGTTGGAGCGAGTAGAAAGACTCGATATTTGGTAGGCAATCCCATCCGTTGTATAATTTGCAAGAGCATACTCGGAGTATTCAAGTCACCTATTTTCAGCGAACCATTACAAGGTCCACTAGTTCATCTGTCGAAGGGTTTCATTGCGTTGGTGGCTAAGCACAATGGTCATGTCTTTATGATCTTGGGAGATGTACATATACTACACTTCTATGTTCGAAGGCTCGATTTGTAGAATCGTTGCAGGCCACAAGGTGTACCAGTAAACTTAAGTGTTCCTTCTCGCGATCAGAGTCATTTGATATCACAAATGTATGCTGACCGTGCCGCGTCCAACCGCTTTGTATGAATGAACATGGGATGGCTGAGTCAATCTAGTAGACACTGATCCTGCCATGATCGGACGCAGGCAGCTTATATACTCCGTCAGTGGAATCCGCATCATTAATTGAAGATCTAAATCCAGAATATTCAACGTGTGCCCAACATGTTTCGACTACGTACGTAGGTACGCCCGCTGCAAGCATGCGGCGGCATGCCATATTGAGCAGCTCGCGCTTGACCGTCCGATCGAATCACGGATCGACGGTCTGCTCCGACCGTCCCGTCAATAGCCGCGGCCGCCTGACGCTATCATCGCGCCCGGCCGCGGGGTGCCAGGGCGGCTACCAGAGGGGTTTGAGCAGGGTTTAGGCGGGTTTGATTCAAATTCAAAAGGTGACGCAGCTAGGTATTACCGGCGCGCCGCGCAGTTTACAGCCTCCGGTGCAGGGTTTCAGGATCATGCAGGGGTTTCAACTTTCTGCCTCCTAGGTAAATCACGGCCCATGCACACCAAGGGCCAAGGGCCAGGCGCACCTGAACTTGGACTTGAAGATCCCTGAGGCTGTAGGCAAGAGGTGTAGTGCTCAGGCTTTTCTGAAGCGCTCGTTGCAGGTGCTATTATGGTTTTCTGCTGGCACTCTCGAGTCTGATTCCGCTGCTTCAGCATGAAGACGTTGAGGTTCTAGATTGACGCGGATCGGCCCAGCTTGATCAAACTGAGATGCTGGGCATTTGGAGCAACTGTCTCTACTAATTCAAGGTAGGCACAAAAGCGTTTGTCCTCAACGGGGCTTTTGCAAGTTGAAGAGCGCACCAATATGGTTGACGATCTGCTGCAGGCAGAGGAATTTTTGAATCACTGGTGCCTTTTTAGGGCTCATTAAGATTCGGATCCTTGTGTAAGCAAAAGTTGCACCAAGAAGCTGGCCAGGCTCTTCCCTTTCCCTCTGACCCACTGATAAGGAGGAAGGCTGTAGAAAGGGTTTGCCACTGAAAGGTCATGAAGTGACCCCCTGATGAGTCAGATGGGAGCTCTGCCTTTCCTCCGCTACATGATCAAGATAAGTTAGTGCTGCTGCAATTGTAGAGATTTGCTGGGACTTGACTCGATGACACTTCAGTGTCGTCCCTCACACCATTTAATAGGGCGATGCTGAGCTCCCACAGGAACAGGGTCTTACTTTGAGACAAGGAAACCAGCACTTTAGCTGTTGAAGAGTGCCCGTGCTGTTGCAGCTCATGTAGCAGTTTCTTATGATAATGAAGAAGACGTGCATCTTATAACATTTACACGCATCTAAGCTTCAAATCTTTCTTGACAGTATTCCTGTCTCAGTGTTGTCGCATGAGCTGAACTGATTGCCAAGCGCTACCTTTCCACTGCAGACCCAGCACTTAGCCCGGTGCCATCACAATGATTCCAGGGGGAGGGGCCATGCCAGGCCAGGCTGGCTTTGGCCCTGAACTGAGCGAGGCGCAAAAGATGGCGGCTTTTGCTCCCCTAGACAAGCCTTTGCTCATTGTTGCTGCAGCGGTTAGTACCGTAGCAATAGCGGTTGCTTCATGCTTGGTCGTGGCTGTCAGGCAGGAGTGTTTTACGAGGCCCTTGCATGATGGGCATCCATCAAAAGTGATTGCATCCTTTCAAATACCAATCAAAGTGTGTTCTTACATGAATAATCTTGCTTCCCTTGCATTTGCATACTCTGCACTTCAATGGCTAGAAAGCGTTCGCAGCTTTGGGCTTGCACAGTGTTGTCTCCGAAATTTTGGTTGCAGCTGAGAAGACCAGATCGCTTTGTAGTTTGTGCAGACTGACGGGACCGTTGGGGCACTTTGATGAAAGACTCACAGCAAGCAACTTCAAGGGAATGCCAAATTGGTTATTAGCAATGTTTTCGAGACCAACACCTTCCAGCACAAACAATGTTCTTTTTGTTACATTTCCGATTTGACGCTGCAGGGCTCAGGCAAAACGTCTGTCCTGTGTCACAGGATCCTCCACATGATTGCCCAGGTGAGCAGCACCTCTACTTCGGACTGCAGATGGCATTGTTGACTGGCTCTCCCGCAGATACGATTCACCAGGTGTATTTGATCACATGTTCGTTCTATTAAGGCTCCAGCATGCATTGGTCATATATATTTTGCAGAGGGAAGGTGACCAAACTTCAGCTTTCAGGAGATTGTAAGATGCAAATGTGGAACACGGTAAGCTCCTGTGACACCTTTTTCTTTCGTGGTACAGGGCATCGAACCAGGCAGCGTCTTGGCAGTAACGGTAGGTCCACGGCAATCCTGCTCGGCAATATTGCCATGATATTGCACGAAATGACGGTCAGGAACCTGGATGGCAATGCTTGTCGAGGTTCTCGTCAACGTGAGATGTGAAAGGGCCCCGCGGGTCCTTAGCCCCATTTACAATATTAACCTCGTCTTCTCCAGTTCACACGCCGTGCCGGGCAAGACCTTTTGCGCCGTATCCGTGCGCTCGCGCAACTGCCCGGCCTGGGCCCTGCGCATGCAACTGCGTGCGAGCGCGTGCGCGTGGGCACGTTTCACTCGTTCTGCCTCTCGGTCCTGCGCAAGCACCCCGAGAAGGCGGGCCTGGCACGCAACTTTGCCGTGTACACGCCCAAGATGCAGGTGAGGCGTGCTTCGCTCGCCTCACAGTCTTGCTTCATGCTCCAACATGCATGTGAGAAAGTGATTGGTCCCCTAGCAGCTTAGGAGTGGGACGAATTGTCCCTTTTAAACTCACAGCTTTGCGCATTGGCTTAGCGTGGTCCTTTCAGTGCGAAGCTTCTGCTTTCAGATGCATGACGTATGCACTGATATTTCGTTTACTCAAGGATCGAGTAGGTTGTTACGACAAGTGCTCTGGAAATTCCACTCGGATCCTTCTTCTACAGAGGGACCTTCTGCTGGGGCTGGTGCACGAGTACTACATTGGCATGGGCATGATCCAGCAACGGCGCCAGGGACGGCCCATCCCTCAGGTGCAAAGTCACACAATCTCTTGTTCGACGACAGGCAAAGGCTTGCGTAAGAGGCAAAAGCACCTAGCTTGGATGGTCGAAACTTCATCCGAACCGTTGTTTGATTGAACTCCTTCGACGCATCGTTTGTGGAAACTTCTGCTCGATATGGTCAGATTGCTGGTATCGACCTCACATTCGCTGCCCACTTTCAGCGCTCAACTCAAGCCAATTTTTAACTTCGTCAAATTGTTGAACGGGTTCGATCCGACCTCAAACACTCGTGCGATTACCGATCCGCAAGGAAACCGTAGCTTATCTTTGCTGACAGGAGCTGCACTCGAGCGCCGCGCTGGTGAGGTCTCTGCCGCCCGAGCAGCGAGCCCAGTTCCAAGCAGAAGCTGCCCGCCTACTGCGCAAGATTAGCCGACTGCAGGCTGACGCGGGTGGGTGTTTCGTCGTGTCTTTTGAAGCCTAGGATGCCGGCAAGAGAGCAGGAGTGGAAAGGAGAATCGAAATGAGAATATCCAGCCGTCTTGCATAAGGTCGACAAGCGCGGGTGGGTGGAACTCACGTCGACAAGGGGGCAAGAACCCTGGCCTAAAGCTGCCCCTGGGCAGATCTTTGGGTCGCGAAGAGTCTTTTCGGCGTTCCAACGGTCCTTCAAAACCTCAACTTCGAGTAGGTTGATAGATCCAAGGTTCTTCGGATAATCCTCATGATGCTTCCGTTGCATGCATTTTCTGACGACCGGAACCTTTGTTAGCCTGCATAAGCCTCCCCTGCAAGTTGTTCTTTGGTCCAATGCTCCATGTTTACCACTTCCCACACCTTTCGCAGGCGCGGGGTCGAGCCAGAGCATCCTGGGAGACGGTACCGACAACGAGATGTTCTCGTGGATCTACGACCACTATAAGCAGCGGCTGCGCGAGGTCAACGGAGTCGACTTCAACGGGTTCATCAGGTGCGGGTGTCTTCTTGAGTCGCCATTTGAGCGACTGCGCTTGATTGGTTTGATTGTCTGTCTTCTCCTGAACGGCTTATGTACGTCGCCTCTTCCTTTTCGAAGATGGCGTCGTTGCTTGCCGACCGTTTTTCTGTTTGTCGTTGGTACACCTGGTCGACCCTCTTGGTGCTGGTGCAGATGAGTGTTGTGCGTACGATCAAGTGTTGATATGAAGGTATGTCTCCACAACGGGTTTCTGTGTTGATAATCATCGTCCTCTGCGTACCTCTTTGGATAGCCCCCCTCTGATTTGGTTACAACCCTCAAGGTCCAGTACAGCCAGACCGGTTTTTCTTCGCGGTCTCGTTTAAGTGGTGACCGTCGGAAGGGCTTTCGCGGGGTTCCCATCAGGAGATTCTCCTCAGTTTGCCGTCTTTCCACCTCCAATGGAGTTGCGGAACACTGGAAAACCATTGTTTCCTTCTTCGGCAGGCACACCGTGAAGCTGTTCCAGTCCTGCCCGGAGGTACTACAACAGCAGCGGGGCCAGTCAAGATACGTGCTTGGTAAGACCCGTTTGTTTCGAACGCCTGATTGTAAACGCGGTGCTGATTAGATGGATCGCTACTGGACATCTGCTAGTGTAGCTTTGACCGGTAGAAGTTAGGATTACGATACACTGTGATGGACGTCCGCTGCTTCGACAGAGTTGGCTTGATTCTGGTCACTTGATGGACCAGGAGAGATATTATCTTTTTGATGAGAGGGAACGACACAATGCTCGTCCTGAATTTCGCCTCATATCCTGGTCGGCTGTTTTGTCCCTGTTGTAAGCTCATAAACGGTCTCTTAACCTGATCAAATGTGTTGTCTCTCTTGTAATATCACAGATGACCCACAGAGCTAAGTTGTGGAGCCTTTGCGGTCTTTCAAACCGACAACGAAATTGTTTCCAACAAATAGAAGCATCTTTGCCTCCAGCCACAGAAATTTGATCTCCCTCCTTCCTTTGCAGTCGACGAGTTCCAGGACACTGACACGTGTCAGTTCGAGCTGCTCCGCCTGCTGTGCGCGCCCGCGCCCGGCGACTCGGGCCGCGTGACGGTGGTGGGCGACGATGACCAGCAGATCTACACATGGCGGGGCGCCGCGGGCCTGCGCAACTTCGCGGCATTTGACGAAGCGTTCCCGGATGCCAAGACAGTGCTGCTAGAACAGGTGAGCAGCAGGCGTATGGGAAAAGGGTCACTGACACTCTGACCATCTCTCGGTGCGCTTTCTCTACTTGTGCAGCACTTTAACGTCTTGAAGTCACACCCGTCTTGAAGTCATGAGTTGTGGTCATCCTTTCTTGTTAACTGTACTGTCCAACTCAGAAAATTTGCTTGGAGCATCTAGAAACGTAATAGCAAGTTTATCGCAAAGCGCTGTCTGTCTTATGCTTTGAGCAGCATACTAGAGTGGACGCGCGCAACAACTGCGTCCCAATAGACATCGCAGCCCGTCCCTAGCACTTTTGTCCCTTCACTTCTGTTTCGTTTCGTTGGAAATCTATTTTAGGGCCTCCTCACCCTCGTCCGCCCTTCCGCTCCGTGCAGAACTTTCGGTGCTCCGCCGCCATCGTCTCCGCGTCGCGCATGGTCATCTCGCGCAACACGCGGCGCCGCGCCAAGTCCATCCGGCCGGTCGCCCCCTTCGGAGTCGCCGTCACTGTTTCCGAGTGCCGCAACGAGGCGTGCGAGGCGACCGAGGTAGCCGAGGCCATTCACGAACTGGTCGCCGCGCAAGGCCTTGTTCTGAGCGAGATCGTCGTGCTTTACCGGCTGCAAAGAGTGGGGCTCGACGTCATGCAGGGCCTCCGAGCGCGGGGGATCGCGTGCCACTTCAAAGGGAGCGGGTCCGGTGGGGGTGGGGGAGAGGAGGGGTTTGGGTTTGGCGCGAGCGGGGGTGGGAGTGCTTTCGAGGACGTTTTGGCTGTGTTAGCCTTAGTGGTGAACGAGGGAAACGATGCGGCGTGCGCGCAGTTACTGCACACGTGCAGCCAACACGTGGCGGCCCCCGACGGCGCGGCACTGGCCTGCGTAAGCCTCCTGAACCACGAGAAGGGGATCCCCCTGCTGGCCGCAATCAAAAGCGTGCGCGCGCATGCGCTCGGAGTCATGCCGTGCGCAGAGCTGCGGGAGTTCGCGCCGGCCCAATCGCTGGACGCCACGTCAGCAACCATCGGCGCCATGCTGGCGGTGTTGAGGATCGTAGCGGCCGCGAAGCAGGAGGCGCAGCAACTGGGGTGCAAGGACCTGGTTCTAAACGTACTGAAGCAAGTGGCGCCGTATCACGGAAGCGAGGCGCAAGATGGAGAAGAAGTGCCTACACAAGGGACGAGAACAGGGAAATCGTCGCAGCCTGGAAAGGGAAACGGGGTCAAGGGGAGCTTCGCGTTTGCGGGCATCAAGGCGCTGATTCGAGAAGCGGAGCTGTTTGAGGAAGCCGAATCAAGTCGCGTGCCCGAGACGCCTAGCGCATTAAAGCCCCCATTGAGCCAAGCAGAGGGTGCGGCCTTAGACGGAACGTATACAACCGGCGGAATGACGTCGGCGAGAAACGTGGGAACGGTTATTCAGGACGGCAGTCCGCTCCGGCGAGAAGGCGTTTCGTTACGGCCGGAACAGGTGCCATGTCAGCCCCTGGGTAGGGACAATGGGGCAGAGGCGAGCACCAGCGGACGGGGCCAGGACCCGCAACTCTCGGGGGGGCAGAATGGCTGTGTTAAAACACCCCTGCAGGGACGGGAGCAAAGGGAGGGCTGGCTGACACCGCCGCCTAGCAGGGGGCTGAGCAACTTGGATAACACGCCGTTGAGGATGGGGTCCCAAGGTTCGGGGCAACAATCGAGCCATCTGAGAACGTCGGCAAGCAGAGGGGGTGAGTGGAATCTGCAGGCTCTGCTTGCAATGTCCTGTTGTTGCCATCTTATTGTAACTAAGTTAGAAGGGTTGAGAAAACCAGAACTTATATATCTCTCCGCTCCGGTAAGCGAAGCAATCAAAGACTTTGCTCCCTGAGATGGACTAGCAAAAGCACAGGTTACTCTACTTGACTGCATAAATTGTGCATCTAACGACCGTGCAGTGAACACGCAAAGCTCTGCCCTACTGTCATTTGTGGGCGACTCGTATCGGGCAGCTTCATTTTTGTGCAGAAGCTTGCACAGAAAAAAATTGTCGCGCTTTTGATTTTTTAAGTACATGCTCATACTCTTTCCAGAGAACCAAGGCCTATTGTATCCAGGATTCAACGATGTCGTATTTCGGAGTTATAATCATCAGCGCGTTGTAGGCATCGGAGCTTCTAAAGGTCTTGTATTTCGCTGCTTCCTTCCGCTCCGCTTTTCAGGTCACACGTCCCCCCGCTTTGCAGGCTGCGGTCCTGCGCGCGAGGGCAGCTACGCGGACCTGATGGCGAAGCGCGGCCGCCGCAGCACTCCCGCGCAGCTCAGCAGCGCGCTCCGATCCGTCCCCCCGGTGCCGCGGCCCAATCTGTGTCTGACACCTGGCACCACTCCGTCCACCGCTCCCCGAGCAGAGTCACCCTTACGCAATCCCGCCAAGGAAACGTCAGCAACGGGGGTGGAGTCCGGCGGGTTCTCCTTCGCCGTTACTCCGTGCGAGGACAGCCGGAGCCCCACCCTGTTCAAAGCCCCGGGGGCCAGCAGGCCTGCGGAGGGATCCCCCGCCTCGACCCCTGTCGCCAATCCCCGGACGCATCCCCATCCTAGTTATGCCCCGAGCTCGCAATCGGGAAAGACCGCCAAACGAATCGGCGCAACCGAAGCGGCCAGGATTGCCCGCTTGCAAAAGTTCGTGGACCGGGTGATGTTGCGCAGCGAGGAACAGGAACTAGGGGAGGCGGGAGATTTGGGCGCGGGGCCAGAAGAGAAGGACGGAGAGGAAGAGGAGGCGGTGACTCTGACCACGATCCATCAGGTTGGTTAAAACTGGCTATTTTTCGGCGCTTCGGGGAAATGCTCTTCGAGAACTTTTCGAAACCTTTGGCAAGCGTGTTGAGCATTCATTTTCTGGTTTTCTTTAATTTTGTTGACGTGTTTTGAAGGTGTGTGCTGTAAAATTTCGAGGATGCTTAGAGAGAGCATCGATAGCAGTCTTAAATCAGAACTGCCCTTCGATATCGCGCTTTTTTCTTGACTCACAGACCTGCAAGGGAGCCGCCGATCTAACCATCCGGACGATCGCCCTTGCTTCTACCAGCTCCATTTTTGCAATTTAATCGCGAGTGCCGCAAGCTTTGGCGTGGGCTTCTACTGTAATCACGTTATGTTTCTCTCCCTCTTTTCTTCGGTCCCCTGGATCAAAATCCTCTGCACATTCTAGAAGACCTCCCCCCGCGAATCATGCCTGCAGCCGTTCCTGGACTCCCTCCCATTTTCTTCGAGCAGGCCAAAGGCCTTGAATGGACCGCCGTGATCTTGGTCCGTGCCATCGAGGGCGTCCTACCGCTCTCCGACCATTCGTACACGTCCGCACGGGAGACTCGGACGGTGGTCGTCAGAGATCAAGGGCACATGCCGCCAAGTGCGAGTAACGCTCAGTTGGGCGATGGGCCGAGCGTTACGGCGGCCGACACCGTGGACAACGTTGCGGCGCTGGGGGCAGTCCGGAGGGAGGGGGGCGACGACGAGCCTGAAGCGTTGGAAGAAGAGGTGAGGCTTGATGAGGATCGTTTGAGATTTTATGACAGGTGGACACATTGTCAACGTTATTGTTTTGAGAACTCGCGCCCTGGCCTCTCTTCAAAAGTACCTGGAAACTTCGCTTCATCCTCAACACAAGAGCCTGGCAGTATAAAGGATCCTGATCATGTTTCTGCAAGGTTGAGTCCGCGTTCAAAAGGATGTGGTGACATAAGATGGGTCACGACGTCAGCACGTCAGCAGTGAATATGATGGCACCCTTTCCGTTGTCCAGGAGTTGTCTGTCTTGCTACTTTGAAAGAGAATGTGAGGTTTCTTACTACAATGCTTCTCGCTCCTCCTTGCAGCGGCGGCTTCTGTACGTCGCTCTCACGCGAGCCAAACGATTCTTCATGGTGAGAAGTCAGTCTCGCATGCGGGCATATGTGGAGTGTGACGTGTCGCTAGTGCTGATGCGTACCCGTGGACCCCAGAAGTTGGAAGCCGAGACGCCTTTGCTTCCTGATATGTTTGCGCACGAAGTAAGGAAAGGAAACGTTGAAATGCGCAGGGAGTTGAGCGTACTGCTAATGGCTTCTTTTGCACACGGCTCGGTCAGCTTACCTTACGCCTCGCGAGGGGACTGGTCGTCCTGGTCACTTCGGTCGAGCCTCCTGCTGTGCGATCCTCCTCAATCACGAGGCGCCAAGTCTTCTCGGGTCTTCTTTGCAGCAAGTTTTATACCTAAGCAGAAAGCTTGTACCTCAGCAAAAAAGCTTGTGCCTAAGCAGAACAAATTGTGCCTAAGCAGAATGGCTATCTCAGCGGATGCGAGTGTGCGGAAGCCGGCTTTTTGCGCAGGTGACTCACGTGATGTCCGATGGCGGCCAGCAGCGGAGTCCCTCGCGCTTCCTGCAGGACATTCCCAGAGGTGAGGTACAGGAGCTTAGGATGCTTGGGAACACTTCAACGTTCGAATCAGCTTTTGGTCTCAGGCGCGCGATGGGGCAGAGCCGTGCATTCGGACCCTTATCAACAGGACAACGTTACAGTGGCATGCTATCCACCGAGGGCCTGTTCACTGAAAATTGCGGGTTCCGAAAGGGCTGCAATTGCTCCCCTTGTGGCGAGATTGACAAGATCAACTTAGTGCGGGATGCCCGGCAGCTCCTCTTCCAGATAAGTCTTCTGACGCAACAGGTCCGTCCGCAAATTGCCTACGCACCCGTTGACGACTGCATATTCTACAGGCCTGACGAGAAGAACACAGCGCTACGATGTTGGGCCACCCCCCCAGGCGCTTACCCCAAGTCAGTCGCAGGCTGCGGGGCCCAGCCAAATGGGCCCCGGTCGACCATCACCGGGCACGTCGAAGCGTGGCGGAAGCTCGCTCGCGAAGACGGGACGGGCTGAGAAGTCGAGGGGCAGGAAAGGGGGCGATCAAGGTGGCGTCAAAAAAGGCCGGGGGCGGAAAGAAGGGGAAGACAAGGAGAACGCCGGGGAGGGGAAGAAGCGGAACGGGAGGAAACGGAACGCGAAGAAGGTGGTTGACGAGGAAGTGACCGCTGATTGTGATGTTGGCACGTCGGATGCTGAGAAGGATGCTGAGATTGACGAGCCGCTAGCGAGGCGAAGGCAGGTGAAGCGACGGCCTTTGCGAGTGGTCGAGGACTGATTGCAGGGGTGAAGATGCGAAGGAGGACTGCCCGATAAGCAGTGAAGTAGCCTATAGCTTCCCAAACAACTCTTCTTTTTCCAGCTAGACTTACGATAGGACCTAATATTACGTGATTGGTGATTTCCTGCGCGATCGCTCGCCTGTTACAGTCGGATCGAGCTTGATTTTTTGTTGAGGAGGCGAACTCGCGTTTCAACCGCTGAATACACGGAATCAAGAAGGTGCAATATAGGGAATAGTTGAACATTTGAAAGATATGTAACGCAGGCATGCGGCCTACTACAGATTCACAAATGCTGTGACTTTCCATGCAAGTCCGATTCACGTACGGACCATTTCCATCTGCTCCCTTTGCTTTATCAAAATATGCTATCTGCCAGCGTTGGCGAAGGGCCTGGTCGTTACGCGTTCGGAGTCGTTCGTACAACGATGCCGCATGGGCGCAGATCAAGCTTGATCTACGCCCACAGAGCGCCGGCGTCTAGTAGCTTGGCCGCCGCGCCGTACTACCTAACTTCACGGCTTGCATCATTCAGCTGATGGATCATAAGCCGCTCTGAACTGTCTACACGACAGTGCACTTGCATGTGGGGCCGGGCCGCCGATCTTCCAGTCGTGTACCGGCGCGCTTGAAAAATAAGTTGATCACAGACTCCGGCCGGCTAATGAAGCTCGGCGCTACGTATTACTTAGCTATTTTCAAAGCTGGGCTCAACCGCGGGCAACCGCGGGCATGCTTCGATGCATCGCAAGCCTTGCCTTTGCTTCGGCCAGCGGGGGGGCCATGACGCGACACTTTAGGAATAGTACTAAAAGCTCAAACCAACCTATCCTAACCTATAGAAACTACCCACCTGCTCCGCACCCATACCCACCCTAACCCCCAAACTAAGCCTACCCGTACGTCCCTGGCTGGTGAGCTTTCGATTCCTAATACCTACTGTTCCTGAAGTGTCATGACTCGGGAAGGCCTTTCTCCTGCCACACACGTTTAGCCTGCCTACTGTCACCGGCAGTCACCTCAACGAGAATCCATCGTGCTCGGAATCCAACGTGGCAGCCGCTGATCGAGCGGCCAGGTCACCACAACGCGGCCGCGGTGTCGCCTGAATAAAGACGCGGATCGGATCATGATGCTGGTACACAACACTTCGGCCTGTTGGCCGTTTGATCGATCATCGAACGGCTGGGGAGCACATTTCAGCCATTACGTTCTGGCATGGCTGCTTCATAGCTGACATAAGTTTAGGTGAGAGCTTAAGTGACCCAAGCTAAGTTGAAGGCGAGATCGCGCCCATACCTTGCAACCTTGGGCAGAAGCATTCGGCACCAATGGCGGCGGAAGCACTTGACAGTCCCTCGCAGCAGGCTACTAGCATTCAAGATCTCCCAGCAGAGTGCCTGGGCCTTATCTTCAAAGGCTTAAAGGCGAAGGACAGGCACGCCTGCTCTGAAGTGAGTGCATCTCCTTCACCACCAACAACCGAACAGTTCTTTTATCCCCAACTTGTTCTTGGAGCTTCATCAGATCTGTGTAACATACCATGCAGAAGAGAGACTTCGGCCTCAGCAATAAGCACGATTCTTAATACAACGGCCTTCGACAGCAAAATCTGGAAACAACGAGACAGTCTGTAACAAATCACAATATTCTGAATCCTGGCTTCCATAATTCTAAGAGCGTTTGTTCACCTCGAGGAACCGTGGTGCATTCTACCCCTCCCTGTCAAGTCGGCAGTATCTCTTTCTAATTGCAGGTGTCTCGCGCTTGGAAGCTGCTGGATGAAGAGACGCGCGAGGATCTGTACATCGGCCTGATGTTCAAGCGTGGGCGCAAGCCAATCTCCACACCTGCGGCCCTTGCACTGGTCCTCCAAAGGTTCAAAAACCTGCAAAGACATACGCTGGTAGACATGGAGCTGTCTCCGCAGCTTTTGCATGTAAGTGCCTTCTGCTGTCCTTCTGACTCCGTACTTCAAATTTGAGCTCTGAAGACTACCAAACATTCATGGATTGCTCAGTAAGGTTGCGTGACTGAATGGCAGCTACTAATCAGATTCTCTGATTAATAGAAGGCGGTTAGATCGTCACCTTAAAATGAAGTCAGGACGACATCTATCGTGACTTCTTGAAAGCTGTGAAATGATTCCGTAAGGTTTTCCGCCAAAGCAGCCTCTGAAACTGTATTGAGAGAAACCTGGCTTTGTCTCATTACAGGTACTCAATTCCGCCTGCAAGAACATCTCAGCGCTGAATATGCAAAGCTGATAGCCTCAACATCGCAAAACTGCACCTGCCGAACTTGAGCATTCTTCACTTGACGAAGTAAGAGCCAGTAGGAGAAATGATTTCAAAAAGGAGCCTCCATTCTGTGCATAAAAAGTAACGGAGTTCGTCGGCCTATTCTTGATGTCAAAAGATACTCAACGCTTGCCATGATGATGGTAGTCAAGAGGAGCGCTAACGTAAAGATGATTCCCGATCTGTTCGGAAAAAGTGACCTTTCCGGCGAAGAAAAGATGGATCTGCTAAAGCCGTTCTACGTAATTTGTATAGGGTATCCTCGACTGGGAGCTGCACCTTGTAGTGACTCAACCTGTCCTTTGTCGATGCCTTTGATGCGATGTACTCAGTGCTGAGAGCTGACCCTCCCTCAACATCTCCCGCAGGCTGCCGGAACTGTCTGATGCTGGCTTTCTCAACCTCGCTCAAAGCTCCAGCGCCCTGAAGGAGCTGTATCTCGAAGAGGAGTCAGTGTTCCTCCTGACTGACGCCAGCATGGCTGGCTTGAGGGCTTTGTGTCCCGCCCTCGAAAGGCTGACTCTAAACCGTGTTCAAGGAGTTTCAGGACACGGAATCGGACACGGGTGTCCGACCTTGACACAACTCCGCTGCTTTGCTGCAACAATCGATGCCGTCGGCTTGCAAGCCGTGTGCAAGGGGTGTCCCAAACTCAGGGAACTGAGCCTGGACACGTCAGCTTTAGAGCAATCGTCAGATTTTGAAGCAATCAGATTCTGTCAGTCGCTTCGAGATCTTGAGATCCTTAGACGTACTCCTGCATTGCGCGATGCCGCTGTGACCACCATACTCAACAAGTGCAAGGAGCTGCGGACGCTTCGTGTGGGGAATTGGATCTCGGACGGTCCGGCAACCCCACCCTTTGTTGGCAACGGAAACCTGACCTTTTTGGACCTCGGTTGTTCCTCTGGACTGAACGCTGAGCAGCTCCACAACTTCGTCACGAAGCTGTTTCCTTCGCTACATTGCTTGATAATCTTTCGTGTCACAGGATTAGATTGGACATTTGAGAATATCAGAGACCAATTGCAGCAAAGGAGCCGACAGTTGGAAGTCCCTAGGTGTTTCTATGAATTAAGCAGGTGCATCCGCAAGTCAAACTGGCAAGTGTTCGTGACGTGAAGGCGAGAAAGTATGAGGAACTTTCTTGATTGTAAGTGCACTCTGAAGGGATTGGGGCGTGCTAAGATAGTTCATAAGCTTCACTTGCAGGCCAGTCCCGGGATATATAGCTTTTCGAATCAAATCGAATAGCAGCATAGGGAGCGACTGCAATAATTCGAGTTATGTTTTAAGTGAGATCGTGTGATATAGCTGACAATCACATTCATGCAATCTGATATCCGTCAAGGCCGCGTTGACGCAAGCTGGACCGGCCGCCGCTGTGATCCTATAAATGGCGTCTACTCACAGCGCCACTGGCCATGATGTCGGAGGGCCAGGCAACCGAAAGTGTGCTCAAGTAGGCAACCGAAAGTGTGCCCAAGTTGATTGCGGCTTGGTCCGTCGGAGTCAGATTGCTGCAGATGTGAGTGCGTGCGAGTGCAATGCCAGGGTTCATTAATGAATTCGTTCTACTGCCAAGTTGGCAGCTAGTGTACGTTGGCCGGTCGGGGCTCTATATTGATTGATTGATTTATTTATTTATGGTCCCTACGGGGCCATAACAGGTGCAGCATATGTATCAGGTGCAGCAGATCGTGTGCAAGTGACGAGCAGCGATATGAATGGCAGAACCGGAAGCACTTCATCATCATAGCATCTTTATCTAGCTAGCAGCGTTAACGCTTAAGTTCATGCAGGGCTTGCAATGTAGTCACATGAGGGTTTGATGGACTCCGCAGGGGGACCCAGCACCTTTTCAAAGTACTTCAATACTGATTTTGCAATTATGCAGCAGGCTCTCCTTAAAAGATTCGTAAAAGATAGTGGTTGAACTGAGACGACAGGTGGCCGAGCGCGCACAAATGCGCAGCTCTACATCTGCAATGGACTTATGCAGTGCATGCCTAGTTTGCAACGGCCGCCGTGCATGGTGCATATTACGTGCTCAAGTGTCCGGTCCGCCATCATTGATCGCCTTGGAGATGGTCACTGGTATGACGCGCGGTTGGGGTCTTGGGCCGGCCGGCGGGCCGGCCAGCTAGTATTTCGTGCAACGTACAGCAGCTGTCCATGCTAGATACAGACTACGTACACGGACTACATCGTCAACCAATTGACAATGAATTAAGGCTTCACGTTCCAATCGATCTTTGAATGCTGGACATATGCGCGCGCTGCGACTTTTAATTGCAATTTGGCACTGGGACTCACGTGCAAGAATTCCAAACTTCGTTATATGCACATCCGAGGATCATTTGCAGGGCCGAACGTTTAAATTTTGGGCCACTTGTTGTATGCGTGAGCCCTTTTCTCAATCCGGGCTTACCGAGTATAGGTACACACCAGTCTCTCATTTCACTCATGCAAGTTCTGTTCAATTGCTTTTCTGCGGTCCCAGCTGACTTGAAGATGCCAGGCCTGAGCTACAAATGTCCTGAGCTTCAAAAGTATGTACACAAATGCTTATCCAGCTGCCACACTGGCACACTTTCATTTGCTATAAATAGATCATCAAAACATGATCAGCTACTCTCAACTCTCTCTGCAACACAACTCGCTGTACAAAGTTTCTGTCAATCCCTAGCTCTACTTTTGTTCTGTGCAGTCAATTGTACAATGGATGTCGACACTCCTACACCCACAATCTGGTAAGAGGGTGCGGCGGTTTCTCCTCGATGGCCCACTCTGTCACAAGAGGCCAGCCTCGGAGCTCTGCAATCTGGCGCAGCCGCTTGTCCGGCAGCACCGCGTGGGGATGCCCAACCTGCACCGTGAAAGCGGGGACGTTGGGCGCGCACACTCTTCCATCTTCATTAAAGCGACGACTGTCTGACAGATACTTTCCGAAAGAAGTTGGCGTCCGCCCTTTTGCACTTGAGCATGACGCAACGGTGCCCTAACGTTATCCTGGGATCCTGCTCCTTCGAAGATTTGCTGTTTCTCGTGAAAGCAGTTTGCCTGCTCGATTTCTTTCGAATAGATTTAGACTTGTGCTCACACTCAAGATCCAGTGAGCGCCCAAGCTTGCACAGCCGACTGTGTGATCGCTTGCCTCTGACTTCCCTTCTCAGCCGTTCAAATCAACAGGTTGGACAACTTTCCGTGTGAGCAGATTCGTCCAGAACTGACCGCCCGAAAAGGAGATGGCTGATGCAAGGACTGGGGGGATATAAGAAACCACGAACGCAGCCACAGCTAGTCAAGCGTTCTTTTCTTACAGAGTAAAGAACGGCGACCATCAAGCCGAAGGCCGGACTAAGCGCAGTCCCAGTCAATTAACATCTTCGAAAACCTCTCGAACGCTCAGGATTGATTGACATGTCCAAATGAGATACTTGCACCACGCACACGCCTGAAGGATATCAAAAAGTCGAACTCGAGCTGTTGTCGTGCTGGTAAAGCTTGCCAGCGCCGACAGAGCCGACCAATCTGGAAGCCCGGGACCTATCTTTTACCGCTTACACCTTCCAGCATGCCCAAGATGCAAAGCGCCAACAATCCGAGAATGTGAGACAGCGGCGCGTTCGCAGCTGACTCTCGGCTCACTGAGAGTGGGCATTCTCAGACCGGCGAAGCACAGCACCAGTCACAAGAAACATCCCGAAGGGAATCGACACCAAAATCTAGCAGCTCACGCTTTCCAGCATGCCCAGGTCCGCGATGCTGTCCCCGTAGGCGTGGCTCCTCCGGAGGTCGATCCCGTGCTGCACGGCATACTCCTTCACAATCACTGCCTTGTCATCTCCGTTGAACGCGGCGCCCGCCATCTCGCCCGTGAACCTGGGGCAAGAAGTGATGACGTCAGCGACCGAGCTCGCTCGTTTTTTAAGTGGTGTTCTTGGACTCAACCCTGAGATTCGATTCAGCTGCATAGTATGTTGCTGACAGGGCTGAGGACGTCAGCGAGCCATCTTGCTCGGCCTTATTGCCGAGCAGAAGGACGTCAAAGTGACAGCGTAATGCAGCTGCACGCCGTTTTGAGTGGCACGTGGCCACCGATCGGATGGGCGATCAGTGCAGCGGTTGCTATCGACTTTACAAGACATCGAGGACCGAATGGCAGCGGAGTAGACGAACCTGAAATGCATTATCCGCTCGGAAGTAGCAGTGGACGTTCGGACGTGCGAAGGTCAGGTGAAAGGCCCATGAAACGTAAGATCGGAAGAGGCCGATTGTGTGATCGGATGACCAGATGCAATCTGGCAGAACCATCAAAACGGCTTGCATCTAAGCTTCTGTAAACACAGCCTCCAAGCGGCGAGCCACCGAGAAGTCCCTTACATTGAAAGGAGGAGCTGCATTGGTGCGTAAAAGTCGGACCGGATGTGCTTCTCACCTGCCGTCCCTCTCGACCAGGTCTGCCGCAATGACGTCATCTGCAAAGTCGATCAACAGGGATACGATCGGCTATGCCGAGATTTCTTCTCAGAGTCTCTCTCCTAATGCAGTGTTGATTGATATCTAAGAAGTCCAATGGCGTTGCAGCCAGGGTTGGAAAAGCGGTTCGCAGCATTCCTCATAGAGTTGAAAGTGAAATAATCTGTCCTTGTTCATCACCATTTCACCTCTGCTCAGTGACCGACTTGTAGCTTTGCCTGGGTTGCTTACTTTCTGCCTTCCTGTCTCTAACGTTTATCAATCTGGTTTTTTGAGTGTTCCTACGGGCTTAGTTTTCATGTCCCATGTGCGGTTTACGACTTTAAGTGGGCCGAAAGACTTGACGGACTTTGCTCAGCAATGACGATAAGACCAGATTCTCGATGATCACGGTTTTCAATTGGATATCAGGTTCTCCCAACGGACTCATTGCCAATGAAAAGCACGCCCTATGCCCAGTTGAAGCAACGTAGCTTCGGGACTTGCCTGCGTCGATCTCTGCCGCGAGCGGCGCAATCATGAAACTGAGCGAGCCCGTGACCAGCACCACCCGGAAGCCTGCCGCTTTCAGGTCGCGGATGCGCTGGATTGCGCCCTGGAACACTCTGCACCCAAAGTAGGAAGAGTTTGAGAAAATCATAAAAATAAAAGTAGGGCACCGGAACACAAACATGAAGACATGGGCCTGAAACCTTCCGGCTTTACTCTCCTCAACCACATCTCAGGGACAAAACTCTGACTACCATCATTTCTACCGAAACGAGAGGGAACTCTGCTACTTCTGTGGAAGAATACCCCAGAGCTTTTTTGCGAGTAGGAGGACCCTATATGAACTGGGCCATGCTCCAATAGTAGCAGACAAAGTAGACGAGGGGACCAAACTACACCATCCTCACCCTCTGAAACTCTGATTGTTCGCCCAATAGTTTCAATGTCCACTTCAAAAGGGGTCCGTTATTTTCCTCAGGATCTCAATTGGTGCACAAATAGCAGTTTATCAACTCCTCCATCAGTGGCTGTGTGAATGTCAAAGCTGAGCGGCAGAGACACGAATATCACCTTGGTCTCATGTACTCCTCGTATGCGAACTTGCCCCACTCGCACGCGGCCGCCGCGGGCCTGCCGCGATAATTGAAGTAGAAGAAGCGGCAGAGCAGTCCTCTGTCGATCTTGTCAGCCAGCCGGTACAGGACTGAGAGCGTTGTGAAGTACGGCACCCAAAACACGCGCGCCAGCATGGATAGTTCTCGCAGGCGCAAGTACACATAGGGCCACACGATGTTGGTTTTGGCAATCGTGCCGTCAACATCAAAGAAGGCGGCCTTTGCTGTGGGAGCTTCACGTCGGGGAGTTACGGAAGCCCCCTGTTCTGCCCGGATTGGTGCGCTGCGATTTGTCGCTCGCTTCTTCTGACTGGATAACCTAGTACTTAGGCGCCGGGCTAGGTGTGGTTTTTGTGAAGAGGGGAGGGAGGAGCTGCTTGAACCGGCAGGAAGCAAGGCCCGTTGATTGGTTGGCCAATGATATGCAAGCGAAGGTGAAACCTTGGATAGGGGCAACAAGCGCGGGCCAGATCTGAGGACCTTACTCTTTACTACGCCTTTGGTGAGAGTAGTTCCAATGGGGCCATGGCTGAGGCTGCCCCATGTACTGGATTGAAACGTCAGCGACTCCATTGGAGCTATTGACAAGCTAAGAATTGGAGAGTGACGTAATTGAAGGTTGGGAACTGGAAGTCAAAGGTCAGCATCAAGGGATCCCTTCAGGTCAATAGGGGCCTGCAGACGGTGAATTAGTGACGTCAGGACCGGCGACTTCATGGTTTTCACACTTCTGGTTTAAGCAGCCCCAAAAATCTGCAGCAGCGTCCCAGAAGAGCTCACCAATGCTGCGCGCACTGAAAAGGAGAATAACTCTATTTTGCTAGCAAATGCCAAATTGTATTGACCAAGGGCTGGCTAGCTGGAGGGAACCAAGCGCATGAGCACTGCCTCGTCAATGAGTGCAAGGCCACATTGCTTGAACTGCCTCCTGCTCTTCAATTGACATTCAAAGACCATGCGTCTTTTGCAATACAAATAACAGAAGGGTCAGATTCTTTGAAGCTCACCTTGACTTCACATTGCCCCTCAGCTCCTTCCGCCCACACAATTTTGATCCACCAGAACCAGGTAGGGAGTCCCTTTCCAATAAAAGTTAAAGATGGGAGCTTACGCAAGGACCTTGGTTGCAAGGGGCCAGAGGGCAAATGGACTTTGAGCCCAAGTTTCCCTTCGCCCTGCCTCCTTGGCGAGATACTTTGCCGAGCTGCTTTCAAGGCGACCCTGGCCCCATGGTCTTTGCATGGCAATTTGACAGCTAAATCATGGTCTCCGACGTTTAAGACAAATTTGTCTGTTCATGCATGCTCGGATGCCCCAGTAGAGTCTGTAATTTCACTAGTTTCAACCGCAACGTAAGCATGACATCACCGGTACTCATGGTGTACGGTGCGGCGGTACGCTACCGTGTCAAAAATGGTCGGTACCGTGCAGGGTTCAACCGGGCACTAGATTGCGGGGAGACGGAGTGCTCAGGGGATGTTAGGGTTACTTGAGGGCAACCGACTGATCTTGGTGGGGTTAGATGGGGGGTTAGGGTGGGTACGGGCGGGCTATGGCGGAACGCCTTAGGGTGTCGGCAAAACCCGGTTACTGCTCTCAGTTTGACCTTAGGGTTTTAGGTTTGGCAGGTCTTTAACTATGATGACGTCGCAGTTGAAACTAGTGAAGTTACATACCTACGTCCAATGCCCATAGCTTAGAGGCGCGCTGACGACGGTTCTATTGACGCTCAACACGCCTGGCCCAGCTAAGCCTATTTTGCCAGGAGCGGCAATGATAACCGGCCTCCCTGCGTCCTTGCCACATTCTCGTATGTGAAGTAAATAGAACTATATATTGAATTGCAAAATCGAGTTTCAGATATATCATATGAGAAAACTTCAGAGAAGAGAGAAGCCCAGCAACAGCTGCAGCCTGCCAGCAAATGCGTGTATGCATTCATAAATTTAATGCAGATTTAATGCAATGCTGGCATGCATGCCCAAAACCATGGATCAGGACAACGCTGTGGGGTCTGCTGCTGTCGCCGGTCATCTTCGGAACATGTAGGGTATACACAAGGATCCATTGTCTTTAGAGCAATGCCATGAAGCGGCAATGAGCGTGGCCCCCAACCTTTGCGCCACCGAGCTGGGCATTATGGGCCAGCCTGCGCAGGTTTGCGCGGCTCCAAACTTCAAACAAACTTTGGGTACAATGCTGTGCTGTCCGGGTTCTAGCAGATGCGAACTGGCCAACAGAGGAGAAGGTCTGCAGCTGCGGTGTGCATTGCTGCGAAAGGATCTTCACAGCAGTATTGGGAATGCGAAGGCCCAAGCAACCGGGACATTGAATGTAGCTTGTGTCTGGCGTCTGTCAAAAGCTGTGAGCAAAAGCATGCCCACACGCCACGCCACCATCGCGCCCAGTCTCTCTGAAACAGCTGCAAACAGGCAACTACAAAGAAACAAAGTGTTCAACGGTGGTGCAGTTGTACTGGAAAAGGAGAGTGATGCGTTTGGGGTCAGCAGAAAGTGGGCGAGTCTGTTGGAAGCGGTGGAGGGGGGCACAGTCAAGAAGTTGGGGGAGCTGCAGGCATTGGATGAGAACATGTGTATCCCCAACAACACCAGCTGGGACAAGGCAAGCACTGTTCTTCCCAAGGAACTACACCGCAGGGTTGCAGTATTTGCTCGGAATGCAGCATCTCAAATTGTTACGCACAAGCGTTTGAGAGTTGGGCAAACTTCGCTTTGAGCTACTTGATGTTTTGAGATCTTTGGACATCGAGAACAGCAAGGCCGTCTTGAAGCCCCAATCTTGTTGACTGCATCAAAAGCTGGTTGTAATCTGGGCATAACATGTTGGACTTGACGAATGTTCAGGTTTCCAACGGAAGAAGTTGTAAAGTGAGAGTGGTGGAGTCAGGGGACTCTTCTGCGTTTGAGCCTTTGCTGGACTTCTGTCATGAACGTGACCATTGCTGCCTCTCTTATTTCTTGATAATCTGCGCCGTTTTGGGTGCTTGAAACGCAGTACCTTTCACGCTTCAGGTCGGGCAGGAGTGGGCGGATGCGATCAAAGCAACGCTTGGAGTATATCAGAGCTCGTTTGGCGACCGCTTGGTCTCTGTGTATGTCCGTGGGTCGGTGCCGAGGGGCCTCGCAGTGGCCGGAATATCGGACCTCGACATGCTTGGTGAGCTTGGTTTTGAGTCAAGCAGCAAGACTCTGGACTTTTCAGGTCCGACATGCATCTGATGAGATATAGAGGACTTCATGTCTACAGGCGAAGAAAGTCTCTGCTCTCGTCTTATCAAGATTGACCAGTGAGCACACTTTGGTATTGGAGAGCGATTGACCAACTTTCGAACCTTTTGAATGTGTTCGAAGGTCTGTCCTTGAAGGAGTGTGACCATGCAACGTTTTCCTCAGTGGCCCGTTCAAGAATGTCAAAGCTTTATACTCGATAAGATAAAAATCCCCCTCTGAATTCTTCGTTGCTCTCCATTGCAGCTTACGTCTTTCAAGACAATCTGAATTCCCTGCCTAGGCCTCATACCACTTCAGCCCCTGAAAACAAACGATGGCGGGAGCTAGAGCGCCACAAGTCAGAGGCAGTCCACCGGTTCCCGTTCCTGACAGGGATCGAGATGCGGGTGGCTGTGCTAGATCCTTCATCACAAGAGGGCCTCACAATAGCAAACGCTCTATACCGTCAAAAGCCCGAGTCCATCTTCCTCCAGAACCCCGAAAGACAAACTCATCAGCAACCCACGTTAAACGCGGTTTCCCCTTCAGAACGAGCAGAGGAACTTTGTCCAAGTTATTCAGAAGCCCTACTGCCCCTCGACTTTCCCTTCGCTTTTCTGGTCAAAGCCCAGGGTCTCAAGGTGTGGGGTTTGGACGTCCAAAGCCTGCTTCCACCAGAGGCAGCGCGTCCGACGTCTCGGGCCCGTCCGACGCTCCGCGACTCGGTCAAACGGGCGATAAGCTATGGGCAATCGCACGTGGAGGAAGGGGACTGGGAGGCGGCGGGGGCTGTGTATAAGTGGGCGCTTAAGAGGTGCATCCGGGCGGGCTTTGAGAGCACGATGGAAGAACTCGGGTGGAGGGTAAGCCTGCTTCCTCAGTCTGCTTCCCAGCTTCTGATCTTGAGAACCTCTCGCCAGCTTACTTTCCCCACTTCTCATATGCTCCTTGTGTGATTTCTGTCTTGCTCGTTATACTGGTTGTGATGCTCAGTGCCTCCAGACCATGAGTCATTTATGACGTGAAATGTTAGACTTGCTTCTCTTTCGCTGCAGGTTTACACCCGCGACCTCTATTGGTGCTGCCACGTGGCAGCCCAGCACCGTCCCGCGCTCGAACCCGTTCTCGTCCAAGCCCTGTTGCTGTGTCTCGCTGACACCACATCGGTGGCGGGTTCGAGGAACACGGTAGAAAATTGCTTGCAGGTCCTAGGTAGCGCTTTTAGTCCGGCCATACCTACACGAACCGCTCAGAAAGGCATTGCGAATGTCAGTCATTTAGATAGAAGGCGCGCTTCGCCTAGCACAGCCACGTTTGTAAAGACCCCACCTCAAGTTCACGGCGTAGAACAACAAAACACCACATCTCAGGCGGAGACGGCCGAGAATAGCAGGTGGCCAGAAGCAAAGTGGCGCCTCATTTTGGGCTTACTCGGAAGGAGAAGAGACCTCGAGACGGGTTGCGTGGCTGCGCCTCTGCCCGCTTTCAAGGGCGCCATTGTGCGGCCGGTTGCTGAGTTTGAGTGGCGGGATGAACGAGCCCGGGAGGCCGCAGTCAGGGAGCTGCAGCTGATCCTGAGCGGGTCGCGAGAGGCTCGGCCTGTGATTCTCCGTGGTGAGAATGCCTTTCTAACGCCGGTATAACAGTGGGTTAACATAGTTCGTTACTCTTTCTCGGCAGGATCATTTACCACGACGCATAGAAGTTTCCTTCTGTCCTCTACTCTAGCATTCGCGCCCGATTCGTCGTATGTTAATGCACGTTTCGGTCCGTACTTGATTTGCAGCTTCCATTTCAGTCGACGATTCCTACTGACGGTCGTTCAAGACGTTTGCCCTCCGTCGTGTCTCTGTCACTTTCACCGAGGCTGCCAATTGTTCTGGGGCTTTTAAACTTGGAGCGGATTCCCCACCAGGAAGGTTTCGGTGGTCTGATCTGATTCCTCATCAATGTCAAGGCTTGTTTGGAGATATTCAAGGAGCAAGCGAGCCTTTTGCTTGTGTGCAGGTGCCGGTGCTGGTCACCCTGCCGTCGGGAAGTGGACGCTCGACTCCCTGGCGGCAGACGGCGGGCTCTCGGGACTTGTCCGGGTGTCTCCCGACTTCAACGTATGGCACGCCCTTCTTTGTTTCCACTTTCGACCCGCCAACTTTTTGTTTGCTTCAGCCGCTTCACACAGCTTTTACGTTAATGTTGAAGCGCTCTGAGCACGGCAATCGGTACGCAGATCGGTTGACGACTTACACTGTGCTCGCGCTGACGTGTCCCCGTTCTTTCAGCAGTGAGACAAGGCGTGGAACTGTATCTGACGCGCCGCTCTTTTTCGTGCAAAAGAGCGCTTTGCTAGTATCAGAGGGCGCTTGTCAGACTCTCCTTGGGTCCAAGCACCACTCTCTTTCCAATTGTTAAGCACAGAACTCAGCAGGACCCTACGCACAATCCTGGCTGTGCGCGGTCTAGTGAATGTGAGGAGAGTCAATTTGACCTTGCGCCAATCTCTCAACCGATTTCACAGCCTCTTTGTGGATCTGCCACACTTTGCACGCTGACGAAGAACCGTCGAACGTTCAAGCTGAACCAACGCGGACACTCATACGCCTACTTCTCCATTGCTCAGAGCTCTCGCCCTCGGTTCGCGTCTTCGTCTTGCTGCAAACGGCTGCTGTCTTATTAAGACTCTGGATCCTTACACGATGTCCCTTGTGCGCAGTTCGTGTACTGCGAGGAGAGCCATCCAGACGTCCGCAGCGGCCGCGTGTCCGCGCCTAGCCGCACCGTCCGCATGTCCGTGCACGAGTTTGCGGTGCGCAGCCAGGCGCGACTGCCGCCATGGGTAGGGCCGCTGCGTGGAGGAGACTACTTCTGGCGGGCGGAACGGTGAGGACTGCGGAGCAGACAAAGCTCTCAAGTGATCGAAGGGACAACTGTATCAGGTGCGAGGTTCGTTGGCTGGTTTTCTAAGGGTCATTGAGAACTCTCCCGCTCTTGAAAGGAGTCAGATTGATCGGTCCTCGAACGACCGTCTTGCTAACTTCCGGCATCGAAGGGCCTCCGACAAGAAGAGCGGCTCGCATTTGTTTTAGATTATCAGGACTGGAGAGTGGATCCAGAATATCTTTCTTGTTTTCTGCTAACGTCCTCGCTGCTTGTGTGCAGGTACTACCTGCAAGCGTCTCTGCCGCCCGCGCTGCTGCAGGACCTCCGAGCAGCCCTGCCGCCCTTCGTGGTAGCACGCGGGCAGGCGACTGTGAACAGCGCACGCGTAGATCACAGCCTTACGCATGACTTCCACCCTAGAATTAGTCGTAGCACTGTCGAAACGCAGGGCGATAGCGAGAAGCGGCGGACCCTGCCGGCAAGCGTAGGACAGACTGAGAGTTCAGCGGCAGGGGACGACAGCAGAAACAGACGTCAGCACAGCGGTGATGACGTCAGCAATCAAATTGACACCGGGCGTAGCAGCACGCAGCGTGGACGAAGCGGATCAGAAGCGAGCGTTGTCGGTCCCAGCCCGACTTCTTCGAGTGACGTCAGCGGAGTCGCTCGAGGAGGCGTCAGCAAGCGACTCGTGGATGACGTCAGCGGGCGACGGGGGTGGGAGGTGTCGCAGGAGCCGCGGCTGTGGATGTCGCCACGTGGCGCCGTGTCGCCACTCCACTTCGACGCGTCGCCGTCCTGCCTGCTGCAGGTGAGCGCGCGCAGACCCTCAGCCCGTCATAGACAATTACAAGGTTTTGCGAAAGCTTTATTTGTCTGCACGAATGCCGGCTTTGATTGATCCTTTTGCTTGGTAGTGGTGAGATGTTCTGCACGGGCCTTGGTAAGCGGCGCTGCAAATTCGGCATTTGTTCGATACCAGAAGCCGGCCAAAAGTGGTAGTGTGCTGAGTGCACATTCTTGTTCGGTGAAGGAACTTTAAAACGTTCTTGGCCTGCGCAAAGGCGTCTCTTCACGACTTTTTCGACAAGTATGAGCTCAGCAACTAGCACCAGATCAACAAACATCAGGTGTCCGTCATTCCGACGTATGTCTTCCAGCCTCGTTGACTCCGTCCGTACGAAGCTCTCAGCCACCTTGTGGCAGCGCTTCTCAGCAATAGCAAGCTTTTGCCAAAAGTTCCGTGGTTCCAGTTGGAGGTTTGATCTTGGCTTAGTCTTGGCTTATTCTTGATTTAATCTCTGTCCCGGTAACCTAAACCGCAGGTGCGCGGCCGCAAGCGGATGCTGCTATACGACTCGCGCGACCTGCCGGCCCTGTACCCCTACCCAGACGACCACCCACTGAGGAGGCGGGCACAAGTAAGCCTTGCTTTTAATCAAGTAGTCCTTTTCTGGACCTCTGCGTTTCTAGGTTTGAGCGGATATGAAGACGTCCAAAATGTATCCAAACGGACTGAAGTGAATGAGAGGTCAATGTAAAGCTCATACGACAACGACAGGGCCAGGGTAACGCTGGTTTACAGAGGGTGTCTGGAATGATTTCTGAAGTCGCTCAAGGCTTCTTGCCCGGCTCGCCGTTAGATCCTGCTGCGTCCTCAAGCTGCAAAATCCTACTTGATCGCGTGGAGGATTTGGGAGCGAGGGGTGCCTGCGTCGCATCAGCAAGACATTGACTGACCTTTGATGACCCATCTGTCCGGTGTCAAAACAAGTCAAGGAAAAGCTCCATCGTTCTGCATTCAGCGCAATGCTAAAACTGTGTGCCAGAGCCGGTTTCGAACTCTGAGCATGTAACGCAGGTCGACGCCCCGCGTGATTGGCCGCGCTCGAAGGAACGGCCCCGTAACAGTTTTCAGTACAGGGATCTTTGATCAACCAAGGGCGTGGACACCGTCAATGGAAGCAGCACTGGCACTGCTGATCGCCCCACTCTACGTGCAGGTCGACCCCACGGCTCCCGCCTTGTCTGCCTTCCCTGCGTTTGCGGAAGTTGCCGCGCTCGAAGCGGCACTTTGCCCGGGTGACGTCATCTTCTTCCCAGTAGGTCAATCTTTCTTGATGAAGATGTGCTGAGCATACCTAGCCTGTTGTTTGGAACACCTTTGTCATGCTTCGAGACGTAGTCGCTTCTCAAGTGTGTTGACAAGTGATCGAAATCTCAAGTACTCGTAAACAGGTTTTGCAACCCGTCCAGCGTCCACAATCTCTTCTTTTAGTCTACCACTTCGTCCCTTTCCTGCGTGGTCCTCTTCAAGAGCACGAGCGACAAATGTTGCGCCACCATGGGCCGGAGGGCAGACTTGACCATATTTAGGAAGAGAATGCGATTGTATCTTACGGGTTCCGTCTGAGGGCACAGGAGTGATAGAAGCGTTTTCCACCGGCGCTGCAGAGGCGGTGGGCGCACTACACGGAGAGCCAAGACTTCTCTATGTCCGTGAGCTGCCGGTTCTTCGAGGCGCACTGAACGCCCGCGCTTGAATGCAAACGGCTGCATATACCGGGTCTCAAAGGAGGGACGGTGATTAGTTCAAGGTGGATATCAGTCTGAGTAGGACGGCCTCCCACACAGGTAGACACGCTCGATCATAAGTACGCCCAGCGGGACGTGCATATGGGGGGCGGTGACGGTGACGCTTGAGTTCTTAGATGATACGGTCCGGGCATGCAGCAAAGGAGGGAGGATCTAGCGCAGTGGCATGACATAAGGCTAATAAGCGCAGCGAATCCATGAATCTGGTGAGGACGCTCAATTCCTATCAGGACCCCTGCTTTGCAACGTCTCTGGGTTCTGGCTTACTTCGCATCATGCATGTCTAACCTACCGAATCTCGTTTTTACTGAGTCCTACTACCCTGAGCCGCGTTTATCTTTCTAGGTCAAAAGGTTGTAATTCTCAAACTCAGATCGAGTCTTATAATCGAGCAAGCGAAGTCTTCCTCAGAATGCCTTCCGCAGTTTGAAGGCAACTTGAGAACCTGCAAGCTGAAGTTCCACAGACTCAACGGAATGCAATATATGATACCGCGGCGCGCCTGGCGGGTATTGCATGCAATTCAAGTCGAGATTCGCCGTTCATTTGAGTATGTTATACTCGTAAGAACATGCCGGCCAGCTGCCAATGCGGCCATGATGAATGGATTGTCTGCAGACCTTGTTAAGTGATGCATAGACGGACTCGATCATGTGCTGGATCCAGCTTCCTTGTCAATACCCGCGAGTTCGCGAACGAAATTGCATGGATGTATAAGACATGCCAAGATCTAAGATATCTCAATCGTCAGCGCGGCTAGACCGGGCGCCCTTCGTAGCTGGTGCGCGGCCTACTGAACGTGATCATTATGCATGATCGCCGATCTTCAATTAAGTTACATGCTGATGATATACGGTTGACAGGCATTATGGATTTATGAAAAGCTTGTGGAAGGTGAGTCTTCAATGATAAGCCAAGGCTTTTGGTCAGTCATTGGGTCACATCAAAATGTCGTCGGAATTGTCAAAGAGCAACATGTACCAGTACGCTGTACGCCCAATCATGATGATCCGCCGCAACGATGATCCACAACTACGATTAGGTGATTCCAAAACACACACACCCTGACAACGCGTGGCCACAGCCTTACCCCAAGCGCGAAGATCCCTTGACTATATAATATGCATTGCCTCTGTGTACACTCGGCCTCAAGACCAGCAAGGACTTCACACGTGTATCGCCATATGCGTCCTAACTACGCCCTCAAGTATTTGACTCTCTAATCCGATCGGCTACCTCGGCTGGCGAAAGGATCCCCCTCGGAGCTCTCTCACCTGGCAGCATGTCCTCGAAGGGGCCGGCTGCATACGCCTGCGAGCAGAACATGCAAGGTTTGGGGCAATCAGATAGCTTCGGAGGCCGTTCTACCCGGGACTCAGCTGCTCAAAAGCGGCGCAATGGGGCGCAAGTGAGCAAATCAGCGTCTGCCCTTGTCAACTTATACAGCAAACGCAGCCGGCGGTTAAAAGTACTGAGAGCGGCGCTGAGCTGGACAAGAGGGCGGGCAAGAGGCAGGCGGCCGTGCGCCTCGCTAGCCCCTAGCCAACGCGAGCAAGAAAGGGTGCCGCCCGACCATCGGGCCCCATTGTAGGGCTAGTATGCAGGGGGCGGAAGGTGTGCAGGCTCACCTTATAGAGATTGTTGGGAGTTTTCCGCAGCTTTTTGAGCATGTTGTTTTGGAAGGCAGTCTGGCGGTCCTTGTAAGCCTGCAGGTGAAGGAAACCGGTTTGCGAAACGTTATTCTTTCAAACAAGCAGCGAGCAGTCCGGGCTTGAAGTGAGGCTGCCACCTCAGCGATGAAAAGGTGGACATTGCTCTGGTGGGCTTGCTGGCATGCTCTACTCATTGAGTACCCCTGAACAGAATTGGATTTGACTTTGGAAGAAGCAACAAGATCAAAAGCATGACAAAAATGCAGCAATCGACCATCTCGGATGATAACGCGATTAACGATCTTCAGCAAGAAGAGCAAGGTTACGTAAACTTGAGGGGCCTGGGGGGCAATTCAATTCCTCGGCACATTCATCAGTTCTTCATTGCCAACCCTCCCGCCCCTCTTTGAGCAATGCATGCAGGTTGTCCCAACTCGGATGCTCAACTTTCCTCCAACACAGTTGAACAAACTTACACACATGAGGTGCCCAGGGCTCTCTCAGCGCATGCTCAGGTGCCTACGTAGATCCTTTGAAACACTTTGCACCAACCCCAGCTGCCGTCCTGTTGGCAAATATTTTGCAAGTTAGGCGCCGCTCATCCACCCGCAATGTCGCTTGCACCAAATCAAGGATGGCTCACCTGGCTCTCAGGCTGGCTGGCCCACGTTCTAGCTGTTATGACGAGCCTGTTGTTTCTGACCTTCTCCAGGTACTGGCGGTACCCCTCTGCCACCCCCCCCTCGTAGGTTGCCTGTCCAATGTCGTCCATCGGCATCTTGCCAGGGCTCTGCGCAAGGAGGTAGCGCAGCCAGGCGTGAATCTCATCCTCTGGGGAAAGATTCTGCTCGGGTGTGGGGGGGTCACCGCCACCGCCTCCAGCTGCAGAGGTATCCTCAGGGTGCACCTTCCGCGACTGTAGGCAGCCAAGAGAGGAGAGTGAGCAGAGCGCAAAATGGAGTGGGCTCGCCTGTTACGTTCCCACCTGCATTTGTGTTTTTCAGCTAGGACAGAAAATCGTGGTACTTGTGCATGTGCAAGTTGAAGGGCTGCACTGTGCATATGATCCTCACAGATTATTTAGAACCTATACGAGGCGCCTACAAGAAACTGGATAGGCAGGCCAAGGTAATCTTAGTCTTTGCTGGCTTAGGTTGCTGCTGATAGGTGCCTTCCCTTATTGAGGAGCTTTGTGATCCCTGCCCACAGCTCGCAGTCCAAGATTCTCACGCGCTCTAAAAGCAGGCTTACTCTCTACCAATATGCTTGTGTGGCCCAGAAAGATGGGCTGTTCCCGTCCAGCCCTTACAAGTTACATGCTGCATGAAACTGGTGCAAATGTGGTCTATTAAGCCCAGACCTGGAAGTGAGAGCTTGTGAGCTTACCGGTAGCTCTGCCATAATGTTCCTGGTATCGTGTCGTGCAGCTGTGGGAGAGGTGTGGAAGCAAAGCTGAACGTGCTTTTGTTCAAAATCTTTATACCCTGCGCCTTCCGTCCTATTGATAGCGCTCTACCTCAGATGGACCAAAGCGAGGGTGGAGTCAGCAAGTTCGTGCCTCCTGCCCGCCTCCTGCAAGAAAGTCAGCTAGGGAGAGCTTTGCAGCATCTGTTTTGCCCCTTGCCTTGTTGAGAAATCCTGTCAGAGAAGCTGTCACGTTGTTCCAATGCGCTATCTCCGTCTGCAATCCTGGACCTTGAATGGTTACGTGTGTGAAAAGGGCAGCCGGAGAGCGAGGGATCCCTGGTCGCGTCACTGCAGCATCATGGTACTGCGCGCGGCCGCCGGCCCTGCGAAGCCGACCATCGGATATGAACCATGGCCCTGGGCTCATCAATCTGGTGCAGACTTGCATTGGTTGCAAAGGATAGGAGGGAGGATTGAGAGCGGCGCTCTGGTGGCATCTTTTCATCTGCAGCACGAGGTGTTGAACTTGAAGTCCTGCTCTGTTGTACGCCTGTTATTGGAGCGTCGGCGTCAAGCCCATTGTCAAGCGTGTAGGATGGTTCGACCGGCGAAATAGTCTGACAGCATTGACGTGCTGGATTGTTGAAGTTTTCTGCTTGTGCCCTATAGCTGCGGCTCTTCCAGCGGTGACTGCAGCCTTAAACTTTGAAAGGAAGCAGCATAAGATGACTTCCATCCAAGACCTGCCATCTGGGTGCCTGGGGCTTGTTTTCGGCGCTTTGGAAAGCTGGAAAGATAGAAACGCATGCTCTGAGGTATGCTTAGGCAAGGAATCTGACCTTTGAGACGTTTTTATCTCAGCTCGTCGTTGTCATTCGAGAGGGCAACTTCATGCCACTAAGCGCAGAAGGGCGTTTTGATTGCTCGCATTTGATAGCCTAGCATCTCATACGTCGCACAGATTTGCAGAGGATACAAGATAGCATCTTGGCATATGCATCCATGCCGGTGCACACTATTTCTTGGATAGATAACTGTATTTAGTCTTATTCGCAAGACCTCTTGCAAAACTTTTTGCTCCAAATCTGGTCAAGGAATTGTACGTAGGCAATGGCGAGGATTTTGACATTCGGGCACATGTTCCAACATTAGTCTGCTCAGTGCATCTCCATCAGCGGGACTTTGCAAGCTTTTAAAACTCTCAGATCTAAAGATTCGAATACCATGTTCCGTTCTGGACTAGTCTGCATAGAGCATCTCCGTTAGTGGGACGCTGCAGCTTTCAAACTTTCATTCCTGTTTGCAGGTGTGTCAGAGTTGGAAGCTCGTGGATAATCAGACGCGCACCGATTTTGCAATCAGTCTGAGCCGCTATCACAAGCCGCCCCCCACACCAGCAGTCTTGGCATGGGTCTTCCAACGATTTCAGAACCTGAGGTGTTTGGGTTTAGCGTACATGGACTTGTCTGCAGAGTATCTGACGGTGAGTGCTTCCCCTCCATCACCTTTTCCTTGCGATGCGATGACCAATGCCGAACCTCGATCAAGCAAGTATCCATTGTTTTGGACATAGTCTTTATTGTGTTGGGTTTCCTAGCTATTCCTTCAAGGGCCACGTGGTGCAAATCTGTGTTCAGAATGCAAGGACAGGTTAAGGGGACCCTGGCAGTCCTTATGGACATCAACAGTGAGGCGTGTACCGCTTAAGGAGCGGTTTCTTCGCTGTTCTCAGAGTGGGTTGCGAGGTCTGGTCAGGACATATTGACTCCATACCTACTAGCAGAGTCAATATGCTCTGAATAGTCATTGATCTTTAACATATATTGTTGTCTGCTTTTGGATAGGTTCTTGCGTCTGGTTGTCAGAATATCTCGGAGCTCCGTATGAGGATGTGCAAAGGCAACGGACTAGACTCCGCTGGGTTGCACCTGCCGGTTTTGACGAGCCTCCACTTGACAAGGTGAGTATTTGAGATGGGTTTCAGATTACAATGTGGTCAATGGGTGAAGGGGTCAACCCGAAAGATTGATCGATGAAGTGCAGTGTCCATCCGAACGGACGCCTGCTTGAACCAAAAAGCTGCTGGACCTGGGAGCTTACTGGAAGACCCAGAGTCCATGTGTACGTTTCTTAAATTGTGTACCTTAATTCTCCAGTGTGGTTGTAAACCGATTTCAGCTAACGAAGTACCTCGTTTTTTCCGTCCCGTCTGCAGACTTCCTGATCTTACGGACGCCGGTTTGATCAACCTGACTCAGAGCTCGAGGGCGCTGAAGGAGATATATGTGGAAGGGTGTGCTCTCTTGACCGATAAGGGCTTCTCAGCATTCAAAACGCAATGCCCCGCCCTCGAAAGCCTTACTCTGGACCGTATATACAACGTCGCAGGCGATGGAATCGCAGACGGTTGTCCAAGTTTGACGCACCTCCGGTGTTCTTCCGCAAAAATTGACGCTGGCGGCCTGCAAGCGATATGCAGGCGGTGTCCTGGGCTGACCAGTTTAAGCCTGCAGACGTCAGCATTGCACCTGTCTGCGGACTATGAAGCAATTGGTTGCTGCACTAAGCTTCAGGATCTTGAGCTACACCAGCCTCTTGCATTACGGGATACTGCAGTAGCTGTTATAGTAAACAGTTGCAAGGAGTTGCGGTCGCTCCAGTTGCCAAACTGGGATACACAAAATCTGTCAGGTGTGTCCCTCCCAGGTCATAGCAAGTTGACCTTTCTAAACCTCGATTCTTGTGTTGGACTGACGATTCAACAACTTCAGGACTTCGTGAAAGTTCTGTTTCCGTCACTGCAACAATTGGGGATACGGAACATGAAGGCAGTGGATTGGGAAGTGGACGATATCAAGGACTATTTACAGGCTCTGAAGCCCTCGCTGCAAGTAATCGGATCAACCAGTAGAGATGTTCCCCATACGCTAAGCATACTCTGACAAGGAGTGGTGAAACCATGGACAAAATCAGCGGTGAGGAACTTAGCTGCCGAAAACGGACAAACATTCACGACAATTGACCATGAATTTCAAGTGCGATTAGGCAGCTGTTCCTAGAGATCGTATGGCATCAAGGTTTCTCATGGCTTGCGGTGCCAGCCTAAGTTTCCTTTTAGTATTTCCAAGACATATGTGGAGATGGTGTCCGACGATCTTTCATTAGCATAGATCTCATTGCATGCAATGATGAGCTGGCAATGCGCGCTGTGGCAACACGTCCAACAGGGCGCGCGCACGTAGTAGCTCATAACTTTAAAGATTAAGACCGCAGGTGCGGCCGGTGCCAGCACATGCTGCAGCTCACGCAGCGTTGATCTGGCACATGATATGTACATGCAGTGCAAAAAAATCAATCTATACACGCATATTGGAGTGATCTTTGACTGTCAGACCCATACGGTTTGCTTCTGGCGGCCACTTGGACGCATTTTATTCGGCCGTTTGATTTCACATTTCGGCATTCTCTATACTTTATCATGAAACGCCGCCTAGGGAGCATTGCGATGGCTGCGCAGATACTGACAAAGTTGTTGAACGAAGATTATTCCCGTTCACTCGACAATGTATTTCAGATTCAGCGAGGGCGGCTTATCACTTTGATAACCTGCATCCCCCTACGACTTCCTCCTCCTCTGAAGCGACCACAGGGCGAAGCATGCCGGACGTGCCGCTGCAGTGCGGCATCTGCACCTAGGCAAGGAAGAGAGATGGTCCCAGAACACGCGTGGCTTTCTGTCAAGTCGCTGTGAGATATGAACACCTCACAGCGCGCCTTGCTCTCACCGAGAGGCCACTACGACAAGACCCTTTCCCGTGTTCAGCACTTTCCTTTGGCTGCCGTCCTCCTGTCGGCTTTTCCCAGGGGGGCTCGCGAGGCCCCGCTCGCTGGCCACGCTGTTGACCAGGTCAATCTCCGCCTGCTTGGCCGCCTGCCGCGCCTGCATCCGCTTCACTTTGGCGGGACGCATCTTCTTCTTCTTCTTCCGTGGCTCCACCTCGATCTGCCCTTCCTCGGGGGACTCTTCTCCGTCAGGGTCCTCTGCACGGAATAGCACACGAGATAAGACAAGCCGAAACAGAAGTAGAGCACGGAGGCAATTTCGGCCCTTTTCCTTCTTTCGGCCCCAGGCATTCTGGCCACTGCTGAATCATGTTGCATCGTTGGGGCTGTTAGCCGGATCTGGGATAGTAAAGAGGTACCGTATCGGTCGTTGTATAGAGCCATTCTCGCCCACTCAACAGGATTGTCAGGTACCATATTGAATTGGATGTCCCCAACAAAGCAAGAAAAGCGCACTCGCAGTGGCCTAGCAATCGATACTGAACACCGGGATCTTCTCATGATAATCTGTTTGAAACTGCATCTCCACAAGCACCTCACACGCAAATCCTGGCCACCTTGAGTGGGCCCACTCAAAACTAGCTACAACCACCGGCCATCCTCACCTGCTTCGGGTTCCTCTTCCGCCTCCACCCGTTGCTTCTTCCTCCCACCTCCCAAGTCCAGCTTCCCGTTCGGCGACGTCTTGGGGGCCCACCGGTCCCCTTCGTCACTCCTTTCCCTCTTGCTTCCCCGGCTCGGCTTTGCTTCTGTGGTGTCAAGGTCTGCCTCGTAAGCCCCGTGTGGGGTGCTGACACCAGCCTCGGGTGTGTGCCCGGGGCTCGGTGGCGCCACTTTCCGTTTGAGCAAGATCTTGTCCATGCGAACGATGCGTTCTAAAAGACCCTGCCCCGCCTCGCCCTCGGTGGTCAGCAGGTTATGGGCGTGCATGAAGGCGGAACGGACCTGGGAGGATAAGAAGGAAGGAGAGAGGTGAGGCGAACGGCCAGGAACGGTCGCAAGTGATTGTAGAAGATTACGGCGCACGAGAGAAGCCAAAAGGAACGGGAAGCGAATAGACGGATCTGCCCACGAAGAAAGTCGAAAGGGCACTACGACGGGCGACGACATAGGCACAGAATAAAGATTCCGCGCGACGTGAGAAGGCAAGCAAATAGAAGGGACACATGGCCGAGGAGATAGGAGGTCACTTGAGTAAGGCCGCAGAAGCCGGGAAAGAGGGCGGACGATAAAGCCAAAGAGAAAGCCCCAAGAGCGACGACCGAGGGCCACATAAAAGCTGGCCGTTGTTGCAAACGGATGAAACCGCTTCAGCATTCCACCGAACAGTCTCTTTGACTAGGGCAACACCCGCAACAACAACCGGTGATGATGGAGCGCTGTCATAGCCCGGCCAGAACCGACGCGATATCTGGATTCAGGTTACGATGCCCCAATCCCTGAGAATCATGCCAACAGTACGTCCGCCTGCCAATCGCCCACGCTCACCTTTTGCACGTTGTACGAGTTTTTGCCAATGTCGTTGTTCTCGTCCTGCGGGTCGCGCACCGACAGCAGGAACGGGCGGTCATGATTGAACGTCCCCGCCTCGCGCTTGTTGAAGAATGCGCCCCCGTCCTTGCACGACACGCCCACGTCTCGTACATTGAGCATCTTGCCGTAGAGCTCGAAGAAATCAATAAGCAGAATGCCCAGGTTAGAATCAAGCGGCTGCGCGGGCCCGCCGCTCTCGTAGCCGCGCCGGCTGGGGTGGAGCTGCAGATGCGCCATCAGCATCACGATAAGCGCGTACGAGCCGATGCCGCCAGTGTACACCTGCACAACGCAAAGTGGCGGAGTTCTCGAAATTGTTGCCGTGTAAAAGTAGCGGGCTTTGAAGTATTTCTGTATTGAATCACCATGCTGCTGTCAGGCTTGTGCTTGCATTGCTCTAGACGTGACAGCAATGTGTCGAAATGGTGGCAAACCCTTTTGTCTGTCCTCTGGGCAGCAAAAGCTGACTCCGCTTTTGAAAATATCGAGATCGGGAATGGCTTCCTTGAAAGCACACCTGTGACACTTGTAAGAGAGGGCCTCGAACGGCCAACCGCATGTCGTAACACTTGCTCGGGTTCTGGAACAGAGTGTGTATCCTCCAGGCCTGTCTGACAACGCACGCGAATAGAGGGTACGGCAAGAAAAGCAGTCTAGCTGGCAGCTTTACCTCGTTCAGCTCCCGTTGCTGGAGAAAAATCTTAACCACCAGGCAGAGGGGCCGCAGGGGCGGCAGCGTCTTCATGGACTGGCGGATGAACTTGGCGGCGGCAGGGCCATTCTCCACATCGAAGCTGATGTCAAACTGGATCTTGCTCTCCACCTCCACGAACTTGATGATGGGAACGCGGGCTTTGGCAATTACCTGCAAAATATGCAAAGCACTGTGAGCCCTCATAGCCTCGTCAGAGAGTGTCGACACCGGAGGTTTCGAACTGATCTGGAAAGGGATCGGTGAGAACAGAGCACTGAAGCTTCCACAACGTCAGCGTTACAGAGGCCCTCTCATATACGTACCGCCACTTTCCGCTTCATGACAGACCACCGTTCTCCGACGTACGACTCTCAGCAGAGTTCTGCCCGACTCCGATGTGGCTGTTCAAACATTCGCTATATGCTGCGTGCCTCAAAGATCCGCGGAGCCAAACGAGCTTCTTCCCACCTGTATCTGCTTCGCAATCCTCCTTTTGGACAGCTGCAGCGAGAGCGCTCGCAGAGCGTTGGGAACGTTGTCCACGCCCGAGTTGAGTACCACCATGTCCATGTCGCTGGTCGGCAAGAAGAGGCCGGTGGCATATGATCCAAAGACGGTGGGCGTGCAGTCCGGCCATATGGACAAAATCACATCCTTCACGCGCTCAACAGCGGCCTCGCGCAGGGCACGCTCGTCATCGGTAGCGGCGAGGAAGTCGCAGAAGTCAATGATCTCTGCGGACAGGGGAAAGGCTTGGGGGTTTACGAGTGAGCAGAAGCAGGTCAATCTGTGATGATGCAGAGAAATGTAGATGGTGTCAACCAAAAGAGCCGTGGCACGTTTCTTACCAAAGATGGTCAGAGACAAGCGCGCCATCGGCCAAAAACTTTGAGCTGACTCTGTCACTGAGATCAATGATTTGTCGCAACACAAGTAATCGTACCGCCGTGCCCTTACCTTGATGCAATCTCAGCAGGGGGCTGCGAACAAGGCCCCGCTTGACACTTGCCAGAGCCCAGGGCGGAGGCGTGTATCCGGCCTTCCCAGCCTGTTGCCCGGAGGACCCCTCCTCGTGGTCCTCATCATCCTCGTCAGCGAGGGCATACCTAAACTCATCGGCCGGCTCTTCGAAATCTTCCAGGGAAAGAAACTCCCCAATCTCCCCCTCCGAAGCTCTCGCAGCTTGCAGACCATCATTAACAGCACTTGGCTCAACGTCTGGCAAGGTTTCTTCAAGCTTCCCAGGCGAGCTAGTGGAAGTGGCTGCTTGTCTGGCACGCACTCTAGCGGCAACTTGCCCAAGGAAAGTGCCGCGCTCGGTGACGGTTTCTTCATGAAGTTCCTTGGCATCCCAGCTGCCAAGCGGCTCGGCAGCAATGTCGTACTTGAAAGTTGGAACGTCCTCCTCATCAGAATCCATACCACCACTTGATCAGGGGAAAAACTTCAATTCGGCACCCACCAAGGATAATCATACAGCAATCTCAAGCAGCTCGGTGAGCCCTGCTACAGCAGCTCGAGGGCGCTTCCAAATCTGGACAAGGAGAATTGGATGTAGTGGCAGTGCATCGGAGCACCCCGGACTCAGAGTCAGAGTCAGTGCACTGTGCAGTGCATGGAAATAGGCCGTCACAGCAGGTGGCGTTGATCAAGAGCGTATGGGGCGAGATATCATGCACGCGAAGCCTTGCGTTGCTCACCTTTGGCCTTTATAGCCCGGTGAAATGAAGCCAGTTGACGCGAAACAAGGCCCTCAGCAAAAGCCGCTTTCCACCCCAAATTCAGACGGAATATCACCCTTCCTTCTTCTAATATAACTTCAAGATCTCTAATACCAAGGTCAAAGAAAATGTCCTGAGCAATGCTACAGGTAGATCGCCGCGTTTTGTCGCACTCGGTCTTCATTTCCCATTGGCTGAATTTTTCAGAGTGCCTCCAGTCTGCGCAGTTTAGACCGTTTTTACTTTGGACAAGGTTCTGCTCCGCTTTTACCGGGTTTTGAGTCATCGACGATCCGGAATGGCTAAAAAGTGGTGACCACGCCAATGAACGGCCGGGAAATGATAGTTTGCGTGCCACAGGCAGTCCCCAATCGCGGCGATCTACCTGCTAATTATGCTTCAGAATCAAAGCTGAACAAGTTGGCAGAGATGTTCAGGCAGAAAAGGGCTCGAACTTTGAAGTTCTGAACTTCGAGAATACCGTAGCAGCCAAATGGTCAAGAAAGTCGCCACCACTACTTCGCTTGGAAAATGTCAATGCGGTGGTGGCAGCAGAACAGCAGAATTCATGCACCCTTCCTGTGATTATTGGATAAGTGGTGACTTGTTGGATGGGTTTCAGCTCCAACAAACTCTGATGCTGCGCCAGCTGCTGCATTTGAAGAAGATATGGGACCTCTTATCATGAGTTGGCCCTGCCTGTGAGGTGATCGATTAGGAATACAAGGACACACATGCCTTCAAAGGGCCCCTACTGGCCAGCTCCGCCCCACTTCCTGTAGACTGTCTGGATCTTCAGTTTCTTTCATCTGTTTAGATGTTCGGAGGGATGGCGCTTCGGAAAGCCATCATGCGCTGCTTACAGGATGGTCAGCAGCGAGCCATGTTGGGCTCCTTAGAGCTGGCTTTCACGAGCACACCATCAGTGTGTTTGCGTGCGTCTCCAAAAGTGACCAAGACAAGTGATCCATGGAGTGCTCATGCTGGTGCAAACCATGCCAGTCCACCAACACTGCAGGCGGATTCAGATAGTCTGGCACGCTATTTGCTGGTTCCTGAAGAGCGCTTGTCAGTTACTCGGGTGAGGGCACTTTTTTGTGGGCGATGTCTGGGTGGTATTGCGGTGGTGGCCTACTCCATCAATGATTTTGTTGCTGGTCAGCTTCAATGCAATCCAATCTCTGCAAAAACCAAGAGTGCATCAATAAGGAGACAACAAGTCCCCAGATTGTACTCCTGTAGAGGGGAGGACTTTCAAAAAACTGCAGATTACTGTTTACATGCTTCCGCTTAATATGTAACTTCCATTTGGTCTTGTCAATAACCAGGGTCTCTCAACACCATCCATGAACACAGCCCGGCGAAAGTTCTACTCATTTTCACACACGAGCCTGCCAGCGGACAGCTCTCAACCTTCTGAACCGTCAATGTAAGTCACCCCTGGCCTTTATGTGTAGAGAGGAGGATCCCTTCATTGCTGCATGAGTGTCCATGCCAATAGAAGTGGTTCAGCATGCTTGCATACTGCTTAAACAATATTCCTGCCATGTGCACATATTTGTTGACGAAACTTCTGACCACTAACGAGTTTGCCTCTTCTGGGGGCCAGGTCCACAATTCCCTTGAACGAATTCCATGAGTTAGCCGACGAAACCCTTCATCGGTTACAAGAAGCTGTAGAGGAGTTTGTGGAAGACCAGGACGTTGATGGGGCTGACGTAGAGTACTCGGTATGTGTCGACTGTTATTTATCGACTTGCCTCGAGTCTGTCACGAGTTATCTCTTACGTTGGTCTCTTGCAGCAACGTGTGCTTCACTTGATATGGATATGCGTGCTCCTTCTTCTGCTCTTGGTAACAAGTCCTTGAGCGTCAGTATCTTTTGACCATCTTTGCAGAAAGGTTTCGTTCCAGATTCGTGATATATTCTGCAAATCTGCATTCAGTTTTTAGTTTCTATCGAGAATGATCCAGCTGCTGACACAGCCAAAAAAATGTAATTTTGCACAACCTTGTCATCGTCGAAGTCCATTCCCTCTACTTACGGAATCTCTTTCCTGCTTTCTCAGACGGGTGTCCTCACAATCAAGCTCGGAGGACTGGGGACTTACGTCATAAACAAGCAGACCCCAAATCGGCAGATATGGTTTTCTTCGCCAGTCAGGTAAAAAGTCGCTCTAAAGAAGTCGTTGCAGTCTCACCTTTAGTGGGCCTTCCTTCGAGGAGCAAGACCTCCACAATCACCCGACTATGCATGTCACTTTCCTTGATCATGTGAAACTCAAATCTCGGCTCCCTTCCTTTACGTAACCGACTGTCTCTGTTTCTTGCAGCGGACCTGCACGATTTGATTGGTTGCCAGAGTCGGAGGCGTGGGTGTACAGAAGGACGAAGGCCGAGCTTTTGAGAGTTCTCGAAGAAGAGCTTGAACAACTCGTGCACGCCAAAATACATTTGCGTTAGATTTAACGAAGAGTACTAGTTTCGCGGACTAGCTGGCTGACTTAGAGAGGGTCTCATAGGCATTAGAGACAGAATCCATTCCCACATAGGGCGGGTGCACTGCATATCTTAACGGCTGGCTGCTCTGGACTGAGAAAATGGTCGAGCTGCATACGTTTGGTAAGCTGCTGCAGGAAAAGGGACAAAGGTCTGAAAAGACGTCTCAGTACCATTTTGGCCGTTGCTAGGTAGTACAAGAGCGGGTGACGATAGTTGGACTAGCTTGAGCTTGGCGCGCAGATCAGCATTGTTCCTGGCACAACCTGCAAATCCAGTCAGCTGGACGGCAAGGGATGAGAGTCATCCAGCCCAATGCAATTGACAGGCTCAAACTGCACTCGTGCCACGGCCCTAGATCACAAGAGCGCTTATGCGCTAACTTGAAATTTTACATAGGACTGCTGGCGCGACCATCAAACAGCATGCCTAGTGGAAAACTTAATTTCCATGCGACGGCATACGGCGAGATGAGCTCCGATCAATCGCCGGGAACAAGACCGCACACGTCTAGCTTCAAAGTATTGTAAGAGGATGCTTAGACGGTGTGACTAAGGCCGTACCGAGCATAAGGTGATGACCACTTATACGAGTGACGATCTAGGTTACTGCTCAGTGGCAATCGAGTGCGATCAACTTATGATTGCATTTATATACGCGCTTTGATCTAGTGCATGAACTAATAAAGAGCTCCAGCTCGAAGAGAGGCCAGCTGCCAGCCGCACCCACGTTGCCGTCGCCGGCCGCACGTGCACATGTGAGCAATAGTGACATGCTAATTCTCCATCTTGAAAACAGCTGCATGGGATATAAGAATCTTGCAAGCCTGCCAATCTTAACCAGGCGCGCGCGTGCACTGCGTGATCGAATGTACACACACGTATATATTGCATCCGGCCATGAGAGATCTTCACCTAGTCATGTTGATTCGAACTATTGTGATCACGTACATGCTGAACCGTGAACGACACAAATTTCTGTATACACATAGCTTTAGCGCTGATTACTTCCAGATCACACAAGC